TACTTGATAGTTGAGATCGGATAATAGATACATACAGAATTTACCATTTATATCCACGTATATTTTTCAAATAAAAGGACACTCTGAAAAGTAAAATAAACGACTAAATAATCAACTATCAGGTGAAAGAAAAGTGGGTTAGTGATTTCTTCACCAAATTTTAGTGTGAAAACTACACTAAGTCACTAATAAATATATTGTTATTTCAACATCAAAAAGTGTTATGGTTGAAAATGTCTTAATAGGCTAATACTAATATTTCAAGTCAGAATGTTAAATCTCTGGGATATGGAAAAAGGAACAATTAATAAATATTAATTTCTTAGTATATTTATCAAAAAAATTTGATCAACTGAAAATTTATTTGCTCACTTTATGTTAAACTAAATAATGCACATTAAATAAAGAGATTGAAAAACAATATATATATATAAACAAAAATACAAACCTTTAATTTGTGTTTTTGTGCTGCATGGTTCCCTACTCCCTGATCCTTTCCAGTGATAAGTGGAATCTTTTGTGTGATTTTTCCTTGTCTGTTTGTATTTCTCCTCCATTTTAAAAACCGTTCTTGTTGTATATGGGTTTTAAAAATTTGATAATCATCTTCATGTTAACCATGGACTTAACAAGTATGTGTAGGCAACACCAATGTTGTAGTTTTTTTTTCAGAATTTGGTTATCATTTTGGTCCGGATTGAACTAAACCAAACTATATATGAACCAAGCTAAACCATCAAAATCAAACAAAATTGAATTAAACAAAACTCAGAAGAAAAAAAAGAAGTGTTTTCAGCTTTCATGTACCTTACTTAGGATATGATCATATGAACATCGTCCACAGATTCTGTTTAGTTTTATTCTTTTGTGATTAATCATATCAATATATTGGTGCAGAAGAATTACCGGGCAAATCTCCTTTGGCAGAGAACTCACTAAAAAGCAATGCATAAAGATATGCAAAGATCTAAGTAATGGTTTCCTGCCAATAGAGATCTTACCCTGTAATGCATTTCCACCTTTGATCCATCTCACATGTTCACAATTGTAACCTGCAAATTTGATGTTTGTATTTATATAAACTTGGAAAGAAGCATATTCCACGGTACAATGCTACTGCATTGTAAATAAGACTGATGTTTTATTCCGACAATGATCTCTTCTTCGTATAATTTCTTAGGAATAATCTTTCATGCCACAGGTTTTCATGGTCAGACATATTCCTAAATAAAGAGCAGTCTACCACCCCTTTTTTTTTACAATATTCAAATCCTACGTAATTAAGTAAAAGGATCGTACATTTATTATTTCAATTCACAAAATTTAATCTCTAGTCTTAATTAACATCAGAAGTCAATACTAATGCATATGTCTGTTACATGTAGTATGTTCTAGACCTCGTAGATTAAGCCATTTTTTTAATTCTATTTAATACACTATGTTATCTAATGTCAAGCCCTTTCATTAATTTAACCCAATTATTTGTCTGATTTGGTTGATTTGAAAGTGTTTTGACCATGGTTTAGCCCAAAAATTGAGACGGCTGTGACTTGACAAAATGTGTTTGAGACCCTTTTTTTTGGGGCAATATAGATCTTTTGTTTAAGAGTTCTATATAACAGAAAATAATGATAAGAAAATAAAAGAATGCTTAATGTGGAATAAGATAAAAAGAGTGGTAATAATAAAGTAATAAGTAGAAAGTGATTCTTGAAATGGAAGATCCGTAAGAATGTTCTTGGGATTTTTATTAAGCTTCTACCTGAAGACGCATAAAATGCAAAAGCTCGAAACTGCAAGTTTCTCTACAAAGTTACAAATATGTACATTTATGCCACTCAATAAAGTCAATCAACTTTGTAAAAGACCAAAATTCGAATTCTGCGTGTATACTACAAAAAGTACATTAAAGTAATTGACTTTATAATTATATATAGAGTCATTACTTTGGAGATCATTTCATTTAGTTAATTTGCCTATAAGTACATTATAGTAAAATGACATACTTTGTATCCTATTCTTGTATCACCTTTTAAGATTTGAGATTTTGCTTGTATAATGACAAGAGACCAAAAGTTCTCAGCTTTAAGTACGGCATATTTCTAAGTATATCCAACTCCACCAAAGATCATATACTGATGGAAAAACCACTTGTAATTGTAAGTTTGTAACCATCGTCCGTTACGTTGGTGAATATTACTAAGTCTGCTTAATAGTAGAATTTTTAGGATTATTTAAGAATTGTGATTGGTTTATCGATGGAGGTTGAATATGGATTCACATTAGTTGTTATATTGGCCACTCCGCTATATATTTGATTGTTGTGTAGATTAGTTGGGTTTTTGGGTACATGAAACTCAGTTACTTAAATAAAAAAATTTGAAAGGTAAAATTTCAAAAATGGAACAAATATTTTCATTCGTTTTAACTTTATGATTGGCGTGAAACAGAAGGAGTATATCATAAACACCATCGACATAATTAATTTTCATTGAAAACTTATATATACTTTGATTATCAAAGAAAAATAAAATACGATTGGCTTCGTAAATAGGGCATGGTAAGTAAACAGTACACTCAAGACTAATCATTTCACAACGATACTACATTGCACCAAAATACTCATTAATAACTCCATATGATTGTTATTGTGGTTGCTGGTCAGTGTCATATATGTAGAGACGTATATAGCAACAATAAATCGTAGCTAAAATAATAATTTGACGTATTGCTAACCCATTTTACGAAAACAAAAAACACTAAACTAGGTTATGCAGAGATGGAATTCTACATGCACTTGCATGTTTTTGTAGTAATTCCAAAAATATATGTATATATAATTTATAAATAGCAATATACCTAAAGCGAAGTAAGCTATGGCGTCCAGGAAGCTCTCTCAGAAAGTTCCGAGTTAGATACACATATGCTCTATGAAACATGGGATGTTCCACCGAATATGCTAATGTATAAGACAAATGTGCATGAAATTAAATCAGACACCCTTGACCCCTCTATATATAGCTTTGCTAGGGTCGATATCTAATTATTACTCAAAATAAAAGAACTAAAATGAAAGACAAGTACAGAAGTTCAATGGTTGTGAAAAACAAGAAGACGATGCATGGTTGGATTACAGGGCAAATACTCTATTGGCAGATATATAGTTTACGTTACATCTATATTATTTATTATCGATGTATGAAAAATTCTTTACTGCCAAAGGAGATTTGCCCCGCAATTCATCCCATGCAAAAGAAGATCAATAGAAATGTAACATCTTGCACGATCACAAAAAAAAGGTAAGGATACATTTGAGTGAAAAAAGGATTTAATTAATATGCATGCATTGATATCATCATGTATAATCATAAATGTTGTTTTCAATGTAGCTTTTTCAAAAAAAAAAAAAAAAGTGTTATATATGAATTATACGGACTTAAATTATAATCTAGACTAGTAGACTACATCATTTTTAGAACAAGACGATCCGAAACAGAAAACAAAAGAGACATTTTTTTGGTTACAAACAATGAGAGGTACAACCAAAATAAAATTCAACTTGAGAGAGATAGAAAAACGGTCCTTTCCTAGAAAGAAGGTAAGTCAGTTTTGCACCGTACCATACATAATGGCTCGAAGCAAAGCTGAAAATATTAATGAAGGTCCTTGCATTTGTTATTTTCCACACAATCTAAGTAGTAGTAAGCCTTAAAAATAGCTTCATGGTCGAACTTGGTGAAGCAGAAGGTTGGCTGGGCCGGCCCCGGGGCTGGAAGAGCAAGTGAATAGTTGACGTGAGGCTGAGCTGAGGGTTGTTGGTGATTCTTGCTGGAAGAGGCATTTAAATTGAGGTGGAAAATTACATCCGAAGGATAAGTAGTTAGTTTTGTATGATGTTGTTTCCGTATGGAAATATTCTATACAAAGAGTAGTTTTGTATCACTTTTCCGTTGGGAGTCATTTCTAGTTGACTAAAAGATCTCATTGGCTCTTCGACTAACACAGCGTGTTTCCAGAGAGCGTGTGAGTAACGCGTCACGACCACGTATTAATATTTGTTCTATTTTAACAAACAAACTATTATAATAAAAATTTAGATCCGATAATGGTGACACAACATATCACAAATACAAATTGTTGATCTCTATGTCTTAGTCTGGTATGATTTTGTTATAAATGTATCCTGTAATTTAGTTGTGTAAAGATGTTTTTGGCGTTAACATATATTTGTGTTGTTATAAACTCTACATGGCCATTTTGGAAAAATTTAACGTATATATTCATTCGATATTGCTTCGATAAATCATCTGCTAGGTGGCTATGGAAAAATCTCCGTACATCTTTAATTGTAACAATTAACAAAGGTTTGCTTGCAAGATTTGAAGATAATATGTTATCAGGGATCATGTTATTTTATTCATGCACTGAATTTAGAAACAAAAAAAGAAGAATATTATTGTCTTTTTCCTTTATAAAACAAAAACAAAAAGAGAATATTATCTAGAAAAAAAAAGGGGCAATAGTGTCATGTCATTTTATCCGAAACTGTAATATTGCATCAAACAAAATGGTTATATATGCAAAATATAAAAAGTATCTTGATGATCAAAACATGAAACCCTGAATTCTGAAAGAAATACTCTTTGGTTACAATTTTACCACTTTATTTTTCCCAAAATTAATTAAAGATTTATTTACTAAGTTGCCCTTAAGTCTAGTTCTATTCGCCTGCGACCTACTCCCACTTCAAATTTGACTTTCCCTACGTGTAAATGTGTAATGTGAACAAGTCCCCAACTAATAATTTTTAAATCTTTCTTCTTTGACGATTTAGTGACATATAAAATAGCTTGGAACCCAAATTAAAAACGTGAAACGAATTAAATTATGTAACCATACAAAGCACACGTAATTCGTAACCAACGTCAATATATATATTTATACAAGTTTTCATTCTCTCTCTCACAGTCTCACACAATCACAACCAAGTTCCTGAAGCTCTTTGATTCTTGAGGCTTGAGAGATGGAAATAAGCGAGACCTCAAAACAACATTCTGAACCAAACCCGAATGCCAAAATCGAAGGAAAAGTGTGGAAGCCTTCGAAACGGATCGATGAAGCATTGATAAGCTCCGATGATCTAACTTGGGGAACTAGAGGAGGATCAGAGAGGAGCAAAGGAGGAGGAAGAAGAAGAAGTGAGAAAAGAGAGAGTGTGTCTGATTTAGAAGCTGAGGAGACAAAAGGGTTTATGGATTTAGGTTTTGTTTTTACAGAAGAAGACTTACACTCGGAGTTACCGGAGATTCTTCCCGGATTGCGGACATTTCTCTGCCCGGAAGAACAAAATGAGAAAGAGCCGTTGGTGGTGCCGAGACCATATTTGTTGGAGGCTTGGGACTTTTACTATGATAAATGGAGTGGAAGAACAGAGAAAGATTCATTGGTTATAGATTTTAGAATGGCTAAGTTACGTGGTGACATGAACATGAAAGATAGCCTTAAATTGTGGGCTCGTTCTGTAGCTTCCAGTCTTAAATGAGATCCAATCGTATTTTTATGTTTCTTTTTGTATGAAATAGTGCACATTAATCATTAGTAGTATACCCCTTTTTCTTGTTCAACTCTTATTTTTTTAATTTTTATTCACAAAACACTAACCAAAAAGGTTTCACTCAACAAACATCTATTACAGAGCTAAATTAAATGGTGAATTGAATAAGAATAAGCCGAACTGTTAATGAGTACACTGGCATGGCATGCACATAGAAAATAACAATTACAAACTTCAAAACAATTGTTTGATGCACATAGAAAATCAAGTTCATATATAAAACACTTCAAACTTCATACTTATTCTGTAGGATGTCCTAATCAAGCTTTAAATACATTTATAGACACTTAGCAATAGCATATATATAGTTAATTACAAATTGCTGCCAAAAAAAGAAGAAGCTAATGAACAAAGTACTAAAGAGGATTAAAATGCTTGTGATTCATTTCTCGATGTGTGTGTGTTTCCTTGCGCAAAGCCAATGCTAATCTTATATGTATCGTTAGATGCATGCACTACAAGAAAATAGAGATATTGCAACATAATTATTGCAACGATCGTTTTTGTTGAAATCTTGCAATACATTTTGCAATATTTTTGCAATAATAAATACACATCGCAATTTTATTACAAATTCATTGCAATATTCCAACAAAAGCTTTTGTTGTAAATTTTCGTTACTAATTTGCAACTTTCTTACGACATGTTAAATTTCAAGCAAATTTTGCAAGAAAAAATTCAACGTTAGTAAGTCGTTATTTTTTCTCAAGAAAATTATATTAAAAATACATAGCACCTATGTAGCTATATATGCAACATTTTTAGTAACATTTTGACAAGTCTGGTATATTTAGTTTGATTGCATAAAATTTTGTGGAACTGTTTGGGTTATTCGATAGAGACATGATCCCATATATTATCATATCATAATTTAGTGAGAGTTTGGATTGTGATTTTTTGTTCTAAGCATAAAAACCAAAATAAAAAGACCCATATTGATGAATACTAGTCAAATTTTACTATAATTTAAAAGTCCTGTAAAATTTTATACCGAATCATAAAAAACCAAACTAAACTGAATCCAAATTGAACTTAAACCAAACCCGAATTCTAGGCAACTCAACCAAACTACTATCGTGCATGCTTTTTGACATGTTAATTTTTTGTTTTTGACGCTACTATCGTGTACTTCAGTTTAAACAAACAAAGGTAAAACAAAATTCGTCAAACAAACAAATAATTATACGTACACGTAAAATGACAAATTGTGCTATTTAGCATTTCCTCCTTTTCCCGATTTTCTCTTAATTGACTCCAAATCTTTGGATAGTTCTAGATTTTGGGATATGATCCTCTCAACAATATTATATATTCCATTATTTTTTTTTCTTTTTGTTTTTTTTTTGTTTAAAATACTAGAACCAACAAATATATCTTATAATCTTATAAATAGTAAATGGTATCTGAACAACTTTCTCAACCACATCGACACTAGATTAAAAGCTTGAGTTTTCTATATGACCAATCCCAACATCACGTTATCAACAAAACATAAAAAGTAAGATTTAAGAAAATTATGCTTTCTTTTGAGACTTGATCCGTGATTTCGTTTCCTTTTCTTCGGTATATATTGCAGACTTTTTAGGTAGAAGAACCGAGTTTATGTTAGGTACAACATCACAATGAGCGATTGTAATTTCATTCCGAAGTTTTCCGAATTCGTCATCGATCTTGATCGCAAGAGGAAGATTCCTCAAAATGGTCCTAAATTTTCTACTATCTCACACAGCGTTAGCAGCTTTATCTAAATTTTTCTTACTTCATCCTAAGTCCATAATTGTGTAGCTCTTCATTCGGACGAAGGTAGCAAAGCCAATACCTACCTTTTAAGTTTTTTTTTTTTAAATCCTTTTTATTCATTTTAACTTAATCATTTGATTTAATTTTTTGTTTTGTTTATTTTTATTGTATGATTTATTTTAGTATTAACTAACGTTTTCTTTTTGAAGTTTTTTCAGATGAATCATTAAGGACCGATTTGTTAGAGCAGATCTTAACAAAATTGCAAAAATCAAGGAACAACCATGAAGCTAAGGCATTGGAGAAAATATTATTTCTTTTAAATCGACTATTATAAGTTTTTCTTATTTTATGTGGTTTTTATTTATCATTTGATGTTTTAAAATATTTTGATATTTATTTTGTTGAATGTTTATCCTTGTTGATTTCAATCTTGGAATTTTGTTACTATACATTTTAATTATAAAATTTAATACTGATTAGTCATTATTATTTTGTAACAACCCATGGATCGGATTTTAAATATAGCAAAATTATAGTGACAAAAACTATATATCGACCAAACGATTAAAAATAGAATCCTGATTATATATATTTTTATAACAATGCAAAATATTAGTTACGACAATACTTGCAACAAATTACGCTTTTGTCATTGTAACAAAGATTTTGCTACAAAGGTATTTTGCAAAATAGTTATCACAGTTTTGCAATGGTATTCGCTATATGTTTTATGTAGCAATGATTTACGACAAATTTAGTGTTGCAAATATACGTCGTAATTATACGACAAATTTGCTGTAAAAATATTGTTGCATTTATACAAAATCTATAGTGAGAAATCGATTTATTGCAAATTTTACAACGTTTATGCTACAAATACGAATTTGCAACGCTCAATCAGCAACGATATAAGTTTGGTCGCGTTTTTATTGCAAATCTTAATTTGTAACGTTATATTGGCCTATAGCAACAATTTCCAATATTGCAATACCACCGTTTTCTTGTAGTGATGTAATTCAAAAAAGTCCTAAGACCATTGGGAATATTACATATGTTACAACTTTTCACTCTATATTGACAGTTATCATAACTACAAGCATAAGGGATGACCAAAAGATAATGCTCCTGATTCAGTTAACTCATATAAGAGCATTTGGAGATAAATCATAGATGTATAACAGATTAAATGAGCTACAAAGATAATGCTGTTCAGAGAAATCTTATAACCATTTGGATATATATAAACCAATGATTCAAATTTTAAGACTATTCTCCTTCATAAACGGCTAAGCATATAGACTTAATGAACCAAGATATGAGCAATCAAATTTCCACGATTCCGAGAACAAGGACATATAGAGTTTAACTTTACTTTATAAAGTGTGTCTCACCTTCTACATTGATATAAAATGGAAGAAATATGATCTTCACACCTCCATGCATGAACATCTACCAATGTCCGCAGATTTTCTTATTTGCAGATTTTTTTTAAAATTTTTTATTTACATTCGACCAATCACATAGAACTATATTTTAAAATATTAGCGCAACAGAATTACCGGGCAAATCTCCTTTGGCAAGAACTCACTACAAAGCAATGCATAAAGAGATGCAAAGGTCAAGTAATGGTTTCCTGCCAATAGAGATCTTGCCCTGTAATGCAGTTTCACCTTTGATCTCATCTCTCCACAATTGTAACCTGCAAATTTGATGTTTGTATTTATACAATCCTGGAAACAAGCATATTCCGCGGTACATGCTACTATATTGGAAATAAGACTGAAGGTATTCGGCGAAGGATCTCTGGTGGGTATAATTTCTAAAGAATAAATATTTCACGCCACAAGCTTTATAGTAAGACATTTCTAAAGTAAAAGCAGCCTACCACTTTTTCCTTTAGGTATTCGAATTCTTGGCCATATCTTTTTAATTGTGCACACAACAAATAAAACATGGTAGATGTATCATTTCATTTTAGAATACTCAATATCTACTTTTAAACCTAGTTAAGGAGTCGATACCAATGTATATGACGTAGCATGTACTAGACCTTGAGGGTGAAACCATGTCAAGAGATAAACTATGGTTTTAAGAACATTTAAACTTTATATATTTATTATTTACACTAGCTAGCTAGGTATATTACAAATTTACAATTTTTCAAAGCCATATGTTCAATTAAAAACTCTCAACCTCATTCATATTTCTGATTTGGACGATTTAAAAGACTAAATGACATGGTTGTGACTTGACAAAATGTATTTGAGACCACTCGTTTAAGAGTTCTATTTAAAGAAATGACGAGAAAATAAAAGAATGCTAAATGTGGAAACAGAAAAGGGTACGTAGTATATAATTAAATATATAAAATAGAAAGTGATCGATTCTTGAAATGGAAGATCCGTGGGAATGTTCTTGTAGTTTTTAATAAGGCTTCCGTCTGAAGAGGCACAAAATGTAGAAGCTCGAAACTGCAATTTACTCTACACAATTATGATATTATATACATTTAAATTTTATATGTTCCGCCACTCGATAAAAGTCAATCATCTTAGAAAAGGACCAAAATTCGTCTTTTTCAATATATAAAAAGTACATTAAAGTAGACTTTATATATAGAGTCATTATGATAGATCAAGATCCTTTCATTGAGTCAGTTTTCTATAAAATAGATATAGAAGGAATATATATATATATATATATATATATATATATATATATATAAATGACATACTTTGGATCCTATTCTTGTATCAGTTTCTACGATTTTGAGATTTTATTCAACAATGACACAAGACATAAAGTTCTTAGCGGCAGGTACGAGCAGCATATTCTTAAGTATATCCAAATACACCAAAGATCATATATATTATATACTTTACATTTACTATTTGTAACAATCGTCCATTACGTTAATGAATATAATTAAGCGTGAATGATAATGGAATCCTAAGAATAGTTAAGACTTGTGGTGATCGAATATCGATCTAGCCACATTTTCCTCCTCTCTCCCTAGGACCGCTAATTTTCTTTCATGGGCATCAAAAATTATTTTGTGAACTAAAATAAATAAAAATAAAAATTGTAAACCTCAAAAACTAAACTCCAAACCCCAGATTCTAAATCACAAACCCAAAACTAAATTATAAACCCTAAATCTAAAATCTTAATCCCTATCCCCCAAAAAATGTATACTTTAAACCCTTACCCAAAAACGTAATCCCTAAACATCAAATCCTAAAGACTGAAGAATATTGTAGGTTTCAGGAGCCTAGCTCTATGATTAAAAATAGTCATTGGTAAAGACTGTTGAAATAACAAAAAAAATCGTACCTAAGATAATAGAGACGTATTTACGAAACAAACAAAAAAAATTGCATGTAGAGATCGATTTCAACACAACATACTCTATTTGTAGTTATTCCAAAAACGAATATGAAATAAGCTAAGGCTAGCTCCAAGTGAAAATTCCAAGTTGGAGTTGGAGTTGAAGTACCAGGATAAGGCCCATTTGACCTTGCGTTTTGGATACTGCATAGATATGCTCCTATGAAACATGGGATGTGCCACCGAATATGCTAATATATAAGACAAAAAAATGTGCATGAAATTAAACATTCACCCCTCTATATATAGCTTTGCTATGGTCGAAATTTAATTATTACTCAAAAATGGTATAAAAATACAGAAATTCGATGGTTGTGAAAATCAAGAAAGATATGCATGGTTGGATTACAGGGCAAATACTCCATTGGCAGATAGTTTTTTGCTACATCTATATTATTTATTATTATGGGTGAATCAATGTATGAAAAATACTTTACTGCCAAAGGAGATTTGCCCCGCAATTCGTTCCATGCAAAAGAACATCATTATTTGCACGATCACAAGACAAAGGTAAGCATTTATTTGAGGGGAAAAAGCATTTAATTAACTATTGCATGCAGTGATCATAGTTGTTGTGTCCAATGTAGCTTTTATAGATACATACTCCCTCTCTTTTATAATATAAGATATTTTGGAAAAAAAATTTTGTTTCACAATATAAGATGTTTTTTAAGTTTCTATGCAAATTATAAATTAATTTAAATTTTTATAATTATTAATATTATGCAGTTTCTTTAGTAATTAATTGAACTTTAAAAAAATGGATTCTTAATCTGCGTATTTTTTGCGAAAACATCTTATATTTTGAAACGGAAAAAGTAAATATGAAATATTGTTATTTTTTATATATTAAAATATTCTTTATTATCAAAAGAAATTTATTCAACTAATAACAAAATAGCTTAGAGAATACAAATGGTCAAATTAAATAAAAATATTAAATTTTTGTATAGAATAACAAAAACTATCACTTAGTTTGAAACAATTTTTTTCTCTCTAAAACATCAGTTATATTAAAACGGAGAAAATAATATTTATATATACATATCTAAAAACGTGGTTGGGTTACATATTCCCTTTTGTACGATGATGTAAATAAATGTTTACTTTCGTATGGAAAAATTATTATCCTTGAAATTTATAATTTCCAAATTTTGTATGAATCGTTTCGTTGTATTGGCTTCTCGACTCTTTGACTAGAGAGCGCGTGCGTAACGCGTCATGACTCACGTGTTCATTACTACTAATCATGATTTAGGATGTGTGTAGTGTGTATGGCGAGTATGACCATATTCCACCTATAATTTGACTTCGTCTACGTGTAATGTGAACAACGACCTCGAGTAAATATCTATCTTCTCCTCGTCACAAGTTACGATATTCATATAATATATTTTGAGAACCCAAATGAAAAACGTGAAACGAATTGAATTATGTATATTATAATATAACAAGCACACGTAAGTCGTAACCATACGTCGATACCTATTTATAAAAAGTTACATTCTATCTTTCTCTCTCTCTCTCTCTCACACACACCCACACAATCAATCACCCACCAAGTTATTGGAGCTCTTTGATTCCTGGAAAACATAATTCTGACAAAAACAAAGATGCCAAAACCGAAGGAAATATGTGGAAGCCATGGAAATATATATGAAACATCGATAAGCTCCGATGATCTAAGTTCTAGAACCGGAGGGTCACGAAGGGGCAGAGGAGGAAGAAGAAGTGAGAAAAGAGAGAGTGTGTCTGATTTAGAAGCTGAGGAGACAAAAGGGTTTATGGATTTAGGTTATGTTTTCACAGAAGAAGACTTGAATTCGGAGTTACCGGAGATTCTTCCCGGGTTACGGACATTTCTCTGCCGGGAAGAACAGCGAAGATCAGAGTCGTCGGTGCCTAGACCATATTTGTCGGAGACTTGGGACTTCTACGGTGATAAATGGAGAAGAAGAGAAGAGAAAGATTCAATGGTTATAGATTTGAGAATGGCTAAGTTATGTGGTGAGACGAACATGAAGGAGAATCTTAAAAGGTGGGCTCGTTCTGTAGCTTCAAATCTCAAATGAGATGCAATATTATTCATTATTTCTAGCTTAATCTTTGGTACTACCTATATTACACTATTGTCTTTTCTAATGTCTGTAGAAATTTTGAGATTATTTATGAATGTAACTATGTAAGGGCTTAAAATTCGGATGGTAAGAATCTATCGTCATACTAAAAGAGTTTCCACACTCTCTAGTTGGGCAAGATTCAATGGTAAGAATCTAAATGAATGAGTTTGAACGAAGTAGTCTACAAGTGAAACTCTACCATCAGTCCATCACCACTGGATTCTATTTCTACAAATCACAAAAGAGTTTCCCTACTCTCTAGTTGTCATATGGCCGGTGATAAAGGGACACAAAACTTAAAACACTATTCGAAATTACCCTCAACGGAAAAAGATAAAAAAATCTCCGTTGCCGGGACTCGAACCCGGGTCTCTCGGGTGAGAGCCGAGTATCCTGACCAGCTAGACTACAACGGATTGTTGACACACTTTTACATATAATATTAAATAACAAAAACAATAAAAGAACAAGTTTGCGTCACAAGTCATTCTCGGGTCCATGCTAAACAAAACAAAAAGGGTAAAAAATGAAAAGATAATATAATAGATCATAGATGGATGAATTTCTTGAGATTCCTGACAGATTTCGATGATCTAGGTATTATAGCACAGTTTCAAACACACGCATAAATAATAAAGGATAGAAGATTCGGTTCGGTCATGGAGATCGGTAACGATCGACGAACGAGAAAGCAGAAGAACAGAAGCTATCTGTTCTGGTGTGATTTGTTGACATGTTGCTGTCTCCATACCCAATCTTCTTCATTAAGGTTTATGTCGTGGCTCTTCTTATTTATTCAACTTTTTTTTTTTGCCTTGCGTTTTACTCTTCCCAATAAAATAAAATTCAGAGATTCCTCAACAACTATGTTAGCTTCACTTAGAATTAATTTGTTCTGTCTGGATTTCTCCACACTTTTTTCACCAATTGTCATATTTTATTGTTGAATATTTTGGTTCCATCAATTTCTTAATTGCTTCCCTTACATCAAGAGAGTTCTTGATTAATTTTGGATTTCCTAAACAGTTTATGAGCTGAGAGAAGAGATAGATCAGTAATGGGGAAACAAGGATCACCGAGAAGTCCTCGACCGGAAAATATAGATAAAGAAGAGAAAGTTGGGAGGAGAAGTTTGGATTCTTTATCTGGAAATGATCTCTTACTCGGTAGAAGAATATATGGAAGTGAAGTTTCCAAGGCTCAAGGATCTAAGCATGATCAAAGCTGTGTTAGTAGCAACAAGTTTTGGAAGAAGCAACATTCATGGCTTCGTAGAAACTTCAAGTCGATAGTTTTGATGATCTCAGTCACCGGTTTCATTTTCTGTATCGATTCAATCATGGTTTCGATCTTTCATTCCGATAGTAGCACCGTGGTGCAAGACATATCAAGGTTGAGCAATATGACTCTGCATAAGGTTTGAAAATAAATAGATTCTCTTTATACTTATTTATACAACCTCCATTTTTCTTGCTTCTTATTGGTTGTTTATGTCAATTAAGAATGGAGCTCAAGATGATTCACCAGTGCAAATGTATAGCCGTCTTCTAAACTTAGCTTCGGATTCTCTTGCAAAGGTTAGTGAAAATGTAAGAGATTATATTTGTTAAGTGTTTGAATCATTAATAATCTTGAACTCCATTTGTGTTGCAAGAATGAATTCAAACCTGATACACCAAATTTCCAAGAGGAAGGATCTTCAAAGTCATCACAGTGGAAGCCTTGTGCAGATAATAACAAATCACCTGGGGCATTAGAGAGGTCTAGAGAATTAAGCAATGGTTACATCATGGTTAGTGCAAATGGTGGCCTTAATCAACAGCGTGTGGCTGTAAGTATATACCAAAGTAATTATTATATATTTGATTCATCAAGAAAGTATATATATAGTGATTGTGTTAGTTTCTTGCAGATCTGTAACGCTGTTGCGGTTGCTGCTCTGCTCAACGCGACTCTAGTTCTTCCTCGGTTTCTTTACAGCAATGTGTGGAAAGATCCTAGGTATTTTAAACTCCTCAAGACTTCAAAATTTACTTTAAAAAATATTGTTTTGTTGATTATGCGAAAGTGTGTAAATTGCAGCCAATTTGGTGATATATATCAAGAGGATCATTTTATCGAGTATCTGAAAGATGAGGTGAATATAGTGAAGGATCTTCCTCAACATCTAAAATCTACTGATAACAAGAATCTCAGCTTGGTGTGTTTTTAAACTCTCTCTTTTTTTTTTTTCTTCTCCGGCTTAATCTATTGGAGTTGCAAAATCATAATGTTTGTTTCTTTCTACATAGGTTACTGATACAGAGCTTGTAAAAGAGGCAAAACCAGTCGATTACATCGAACATGTTCTTCCTTTGTTAAAGAAGTATGGAATGGTTCATCTTTTTGGATACGGGAATCGCCTCGGGTTTGATCCATTGCCTTTTGATGTTCAGGTACAATGAGAATGCATAATTTGAGTACTCATCTTGGTTCTTAGAAATAATATTAATTTTTTTGCTTCATTTAAAGAGATTACGATGTAAATGCAACTTTCACGCTCTGAAATTCGCGCCCAAGATTCAAGAAGCAGGATCTCTGTTGGTGAAACGGATAAGAAGATTCAAAACATCGCGTAGCAGATTGGAAGAAGCATTGCTTGGTGAATCCATGGCGAAAAATACTGTTAAAGGAGAAGAAGAACCGTTGAAGTATCTTGCTTTGCATCTAAGGTTTGAAGAAGACATGGTTGCTTATTCTCTATGCGATTTTGGAGGAGGAGAAGCCGAGCGTAAAGAGCTTCAAGCGTACCGTGAAGATCATTTCCCTCTTCTACTCAAACGTTTAAAGAAATCAAAGTACAACGAGAGATAAAACAACTCTACTTTTGCCCTCTTCAATGTTCTTTAAAGCTAATCAGATCATGTTTCTTATTTTTCAGGTCAGTGTCCCCAGAAGATTTAAGAAAAACGGGCAAGTGTCCACTAACACCAGAGGAAGCAACTCTGGTCCTTGCTGGTCTTGGATTCAAGAGAAAAACATATATATACTTAGCTGGATCTCAAATATATGGAGGCTCTTCTCGTATGCTTCCTTTAACAAGGCTTTATCCGAATATCGCGACCAAAGAAACTCTCCTTACACCTCAAGAACTTGCGCCATTCAAGAACTTCTCTTCTCAGGTAAAAAGTCTTAAACAATCTTAAACTTACTTTACCCGACTTACTCTGTTCTTGCTCGAACTTCATTTCGATGTTTTCGGACTCTGTTTTGCAGCTAGCTGCACTAGATTTCATAGCTTGTATAGCATCAGATGTATTTGCAATGACTGATTCTGGGAGTCAACTATCGTCCTTAGTGTCTGGATTTAGAACCTACTACGGAAACGGTCAGGCACCAACATTGAGGCCTAACAAGAAGAGGCTTGCAGCAATCTTATCCGATAGTGAAACAATAAAGTGGAAGAGTTTTGAAGATCGCGTGAGAAAAATGGTAGAGGAAGGCCAAAAGCTTCGTACTAGGCCATATGGACGCAGCATTTATAGACAACCGAGATGTTCCGAGTGCATGTGTAAATTTTGATCCTGAAAGTAAAACAATACAGTATTGTCTGGTCTGAAATTTTTGGATGTTCCGTTAGTACAAAAAAGAATGAAGGCACTGTATATCATTGATTCTAAGTTTGTACTCGTTATGAAACATTGAACTAGAACCTCTTTAGAAACTCTTGCTACAAGAATCACAACATAAAAAGGCTTCTGGTTATATGTCTCAACTTCTTCTCTCCAGTTTCCTCTCGGAAGATCTTCTTCCTTCCACCTCTCGTCTCCGTTGTTGCCTGTATGGTTTCGATTAACAAAGAAATGATTTTCTCGGATTTATCAGAGGAGTAGCTAAAGATTCTATAATTTTATGAATTAAACTATAGAAAATACAACTTACGCAAAAGCTGAGTATCCAGAACCAGTACTTGCAGCAGATACAAGAGCTGCATTAGACCGGATTGAGGATAGGGAATCCTGAGTCGCAGCTGCTAGAGGAGGATTCTTTACGTCCCCATCAACCTGATTTAACCATAAACGCATAAAATGAAAAACGAAGAATAAGTAAGCCAGAATCATCACATGGTCTCATTCTAGATATTTGAATCTGATAACAAACCTTATCCCATTTGGATTTCTTGTTCGGTCTACCATCACGAGCAGCGATTTCGGTTGGTACAGAAGGCAATCCACTAGTAACTAAAGCTGGAATACCTGAAAAAAATGGTCAAATTCCAAAAATCCATCAAATCTTTCACAGATGTAGCTGAGATATATAAGGAACCAAACTGAAACCTACTCATTTTTACACACCTGGAATGGGGATGTTAGGCTTTTGAGCAGCGAAAATTGCCCCAGGTTGAGTACCAGCAGAAACAAAGTCAAGCTTTTGGTTCTTCTTGCTTTCTTGTTCCTTCCTTTCCCTCTCATGCTTCATGTCAATTTCTGTAATTAACACATAAAGAAGGATCATTATATATCATGAAATATGCAGACCGCAGAATATGGTAATAACAGGCAACCAGTATCCATATTTTCCATGGTGAAATACTTACAAGTATAAAGTGAGTGCATGTTACTGAACTTAGTATTGAAAACATGGCAAAAGTTATGAAAGAAATGCTTCTTACTGAGACAAGAGTAATCAAGTAAAGGAACAACAGAAGAAATAGATTCAGCTTGCTCTTATCAATCTTGCTATAAAAGAGAACAAAAAAGTAAGAAGCTAATAGAAGGTGGAGTTACCTATCGCATCGCAGAAGTCACTTGGGTCATATCCATAGGGGTCGAATACATCTTTACTGAAACACGAACCAATCTGGTCAATGTCTTGGTAAGACACAGCATGTAATAGGAAGTCAGGATTCCTGTATTCCTTCCTATTCCTTACTTCTGAATTGAAACTTTTCCCCATCTTTTTCAAGCTCAGAAACTTATCTATTTTCCTCTGCAAACACATCCAAAAACATTGAATCACAACTAAATCACAAACCAATAATCTTAGAGAACTGCTATTTCCAACCAAGAGACCTCAAACAATACACTAAAGAGTTCTACTTCTTGCCAAAACTAACATTGAAGGATCATCACGAAACTTACTTGCAACTCCTCCGAGCACTTCTCTCTCGGTCGTGGCGGAAGAAACTGATCCAATAACGTATCACTACTTTCCTCTGAAGCATCATCACCTCTCTCACCATCAGCAACTCCAAACTCACCAATCATTCGACTCGACGATTCATCGTTATCCAGTGACCGAGGCGTCGCGTGAGCACTAGAAGAAGCTCCATTACCATCTAACAACCTCGGCGTTCTAGAATCTTCTCCTCCTCTTCCTCTCTCTTCTTCATCCATATAATTCGCTTCTTCTACCTGATCTTCTTCAATCCGTTTTTCACTCTCTTCCTGATTCTTCTGTTGCTCGTCTTCTTCTTCCTCTTCCTCGGCGTCTTCCATCTCTTCGTCATCTTCGTCGCTGTAAACAGATAGTAAAGCGATTCCTTCAGATTTCTTCGGAGCCATAAGAAACTGTTGAGCTAGATTCGAGACTAAGAATTTCGGAATTCGAATTCGATTGCAAGAACAAGATACAATACAAATTTGGGGGAAGAAGAGAACTTTTAGGGTTCTTCAAAAAATGTTTTGATTCCAAATTGAATTGCAACCCGAACTTAGATCCACCGAATCAGAACCCAGTTGGGCTGCAATATCTTTAAACAATGTAGTTTCGTTATTATAAATCTGCAAAACGACGCTGTATCTTCATAACAACGTTATAAATTGGATTGTTTATTTATTACTAAAGGCCCAATAAGTAAAATTATTATGTGCAATGAGTCCATCTGAATATTTTTTTCTATAATAAATCCGGAAAGAAATCATGCATCAGATGTTAAAAAAAAAAAAATCATGCATCAATGACTAAGTAACACGTTATTTATTTTTATTTTTTGGGCAAACTCTCTGATTTTATATTAATTAAAACTCTTCAAAAAGGGGAGACATTCAAAGAAGAATGAGAAAACATTACTTTGTTTTTCATAAATGTTCTTCTTCGAAATTTTATGAAACTCAAATTCCCAAAATCGATAGTCAATTCAATATAATAGTTCGTCTAAGAAGCAAAAGGGTACCTATATAAGATGGTGTTAGTGGCAAATTTTGGTGATGAACTTGATTGAAACTTGTCTTTCCATAGTTAAGGTTTCGAAAACAAAATTTAGAAACGATGCGAGATGTTATATGATATTTTTTTAATTTTTGGATTTTTTTCTTATCTTCAAATGTAAGAAAACATCATAAAACTAGGTGATAAAATGGGGGAAAAAATTGTTATTTGTTTACAATTTAATGTCGTTACTTCTAAAGTTTTTATTATTATTTAAATTTGAGAAGTATGTCAAATTTTGATTGTTTCATTGCAATTGGTTGCAATTTAATTCATACCTTGCATTTGTCTAGTTCTTAAGCAAAATTGCCCTATATTGTAATTATTATTTATACAATTTTCTCTAGTTATTAAGTTGTGATTTAATAATATAATGGATATATTTCATACAAAAAAAATAATATAGTGGATATATGATAACCTAAGAGGCTAAGACTAGTAAAGAAAACTATGAACAGTGGTGTCACCTATATAAGCACCTTCGCTTCTATGAAAAGCTACAAGTTAAATTAATTAAAAGCCTATTTGATTAAATTTAATTTTAAAGTATATATACTCAGTAATTACGTAGTACATACCTAGACACTATTTCTTCCTTTCTTATAGATTGTAAGAGTCGTTTAAAGTTAGTAGTGACTTTTGCTTATGTGTTTCTTCCTTGTGGTTATGGTCTTATGGATAGGGTTAAACAATTAGCAGTTCCTTGAGATATTCAAATAATAGCAATCCATATAATAAGCTATTCAACAAGACTTAGTTTTACTTTTACTCGATAATATTTGTTTTGTAGTCGAAATCACACGTCGATTTCAAACACATATATTCTTTTGTTGATATTACATCGTTTTCTTAGTCATTTTTATATAACATCAACATCTACATGCACCAAAATATAACAATTAATATGTTGGTTATAAGAACAAGGTAGTTTTAGTGGCAAATTGTCAATGGTTGTTTATATCACTTACTAGGATAGTAGTGTTTACTAGATGGTTTTCAATTACATTTCATCAAAACTAAACTAATGTGACAAGATATATTATGTTATCAGTGATTTGAATTTTAGTGTAGAGAATAGAAAATTTCATATAGAAAACATGATAAACTAAGACTAATACATAGAAAGTAGAAAACCAAATTTGGATAAAACTTTGGAAATAATATTATTAGAAAGAACTGGAATTTATGTAAGGAAAAAAAATGGAACTTGGATTTGGTCGGCGATGTGAAGTCCACGAACTAACGTAAGCACCAACTCAGCAACACCTGGTTCCCACAAGGCCACAAATACCATTCATTACATTTCTAATTCATATTGTTTTTATAGGTTGTCGTCACAAGAAAATAGTTATAAATTTTATTTAAAAGTGATGACAAAAGAAATAAAATTTAAAAAGTGCAAACTCAGTAAAAGCGTGACCGTGTCATACGATGTCAACTTCTTATGAATCTATCTATGATCTGCTGAAGTGCTGATCGATCAAATTCCTTTTGGTACAGATAAAGTGATAAGTTCTGTCTATTATCTGGCACTGAATAAATTGCTGAAAGTAGAAATATCACAGCGAAAATCCCAAACCTCATTGTTCATTGCAAATTGAATGTTCATTGGTTAAAAAATGCATTGTACTGTGATAAATTGGGATTTTCGCTATGATATTTCTACTTTCAGCAATTTGTCATCATGAGTATCAAGATTGTCTTTCTTTTATGTTCTCCAGTTCTAAACATTCAAACATTCAATTTATTACAAAATTTTCTTACGATTGCTAAATCTGTAAATAACTTTATTCTTCTCACTGTATAACTATAGTATTACTCATATTAAGAATAAAACCATATTAAACGTGCTAGTTAACACTTAAATTTCTATAATGATAATTCATTAGAACACGTGTAAATATGCTGGCAAAATAAAAGACGGGTTTATGATAACTTGGAAGTCAAATGATATTAAATTTTCCAATAAAGACTATTAAGACCATTTCAATGTAATAAGTTAAACCAAAACCGTTATAAAACAAGACAAAATTAGGTAGGCCAAACATCAACAACCGGCCAAAACAACCAAACCCTATTTTATTTTCGTTCTGTTTTCTTTAGGCCTTTTGGTCGTTTTCACGTTTGGCCAACCAACCAAACAAGGAGACTCAAACGGAAGAAACAACAAACCAACCAAAACCCCAAATACAAAACCCAAACCACTCAAAAGTTCTTTCTTTGGACACGGATGGCTCAAGCCTTGGCTCAACCACCACCGGTGGTCACCACCGTCGTCCCAGACCCGCCACCGCCACCACCGCACCCAAAGCCGTATGCTCTACGATACATGGCGGATCTTCTTGGCCGGATCGGTATAATGGATACAGACAAAGATGGTAACATCAGCCCACAGAGTCCGAGGAGTCCTAGGAGCCCAAGAAACAACATTCTCATGGGGAAGTACGAGCTAGGGAAGCTTCTCGGCCACGGAACCTTTGCAAAGGTTTATTTAGCTCAAAACATCAAATCAGGAGATAAAGTCGCCATAAAAGTCATCGACAAGGAGAAGATCATGAAGAGTGGTTTAGTTGCTCACATCAAACGGGAAATCTCCATCCTCCGCCGTGTCCGTCACCCTTACATCGTTCATCTTTTCGAGGTTATGGCGACGAAGACGAAGATTTACTTTGTGATGGAGTACGTTCGAGGCGGTGAGTTGTTCAACACGGTTGCTAAAGGTAGATTGCCGGAGGAAACCGCCCGGAGATATTTCCAGCAGCTGATCTCCTCTGTTTCGTTCTGCCACGGACGCGGTGTTTACCACCGTGACCTCAAACCGGAGAATCTGCTTTTAGACGACAAAGGGAACCTTAAAGTCTCTGACTTTGGTCTCAGTGCGGTGGCAGAGCAGCTTCGGCAGGACGGGCTCTGCCACACGTTTTGCGGGACTCCGGCCTATATTGCACCCGAGGTTTTGACTCGAAAAGGGTACGACGCAGCGAAAGCCGATGTTTGGTCTTGTGGAGTGATCTTATTCGTGTTGATGGCTGGTCACATTCCGTTCTACGACAAGAACATAATGGTTATGTACAAAAAGATTTACAAGGGGGAATTTAGGTGTCCTCGTTGGTTTTCATCGGATCTTGTTCGGTTATTGACTCGGCTTCTTGATACGAATCCGGATACTCGGATTACTATACCCGAGATCATGAAGAACAGATGGTTCAAGAAAGGATTCAAACATGTTAAATTCTACATTGAAGACGATAAGTTGTGTAGGGAAGATGAAGATGAGGAGGAAGAGGCATCATCATCCGGTCGGTCTTCAACAGTTTCAGAGAGCGATGCAGAGTTCGATGTAAAACGAATGGGGATAGGGTCAATGCCAAGACCCGCAAGCTTAAACGCGTTTGACATTATATCTTTCTCTTCCGGGTTTGATCTCTCTGGTTTGTTTGATGAAGAAGGAGGAGAAGGGACTAGGTTTGTATCAGGTGCTCCTGTTTCAAAGATCATATCGAAGCTGGAAGAGATTGCGAAAGTCGTGAGCTTTACAGTGAGGAAGAAAGAATGGAGCTTAAGATTAGAAGGTTGTAGAGAAGGAGCAAAAGGACCGTTGACAATTGCGGCTGAGATATTTGAGCTGACTCCATCTCTAGTAGTGGTGGAGGTGAAGAAGAAAGGAGGAGACAGAGAAGAGTATGAAGAGTTTTGCAACAAGGAACTGAGACCGGAGCTGGAGAAACTAATCCACGAAGAAGTTGTAGTAGAAGAAGCATTGTATTTGCCATCTGATACTGAATAGTATAAAACAAGGAAGGCTGAGAACAAGAATATACAAGAAACAAGATTGTGTCACATTCTTTTGTTACTATTGATTATTTATTCGTTATTCTTGTTCTATGTTTAAGTTGATGTTGGTGTAAAACTGGGAGATTACGAAGATCTTCAAGATTAACGTCAATTTGTGATCTCCGTAATCTCCTAGTGTGTGTGTGTGCGTAAATATAAGTGTTGTTGTAATGTGAGTGATAGGAAGATGAGTGAGGTATCAGGCAATTAGTCAATTTTTGCTGGTCATAGAGCCAGTTTTTTTGGTGGATTGCTTAAATCATATGTATATATATGTAAAACAAAATACGAGCTTAATGGAAATTCTTACTCTGCCTTTCCTTAGTTAACTGTTTTGTTCACCTAAGCTTTAATATTTGCCTAATTAGAGTTCTTTGTGACATTTTTTCATCAGAAACAAGTTAGTAAAAAGAAAACTCACAATGCGAACATAAGTTTTGCGCCTTTGATCTGAATCGGTTAGAGCATTTACCAAGAACTCAGGCTCATCTATTAGGTAAACTCAAAAATATTGAAGCTGCACATGTGAATTAGTCAAGAGACTTGTGGGTATAGATTTTATAAGGTTCATAAAACAGTCACACCGGTGAATGAAATGACTATATCGGACTACTGCTAATCGAGCTGAAACATATGTATAAACCTGATGATCCCGGGGAAGTCAGAACTCGAGAAGCTTCAAGCTCTCAAGTTTTGGACTGATGAGACGTATGAGCAACCAGTTCCTGCAAAAGAATGAAGTAAGTAAATACCAAAGATGGCTAGCTGATACTAGCTTAAGCATTCTATATGTGAAAATGAGAGATGTTTACTTCGGAATATCGGATATGATCTCTGTGCATGTAGGAAGTCTTAACAATAGTTTCCCACTTGGTAACATTTCTGTAGTTTTCTGTAAGATCCTGCTTTTGGGGGTTGAGTGGATGATATCTACGTGAAGGGATCTGCGAAGTTACTGAAGGCAGATTATGACAAAGCCAAGATTCAGAAGGCCTTTTGGGCGACGGTGGTGCAAGAAGAGACTGATCAAGACCACTACTTATCTCTACTAACTCATTTCCCTTCACCATTTCACCACTTCTAATACTTATATTTTCAAAAGCTTCAAGGTCAGGATTGGCATCTGGTTTCCTTGCCATGTCTGCTTCCTCTGGAAAGACGATGACGTTTGAGTTATGCTGATCAGTGCTCATTGGAAAATTCTCGGTGTCGACATATACTGTCTTCTCCAAGCGAGAGCTAGTTGAACCATTGCTTTTTGGGTAGAGTAACTCCTGAGATGTCCTGCTTATGTTTCTAGTATGCTTGCTCAACCTGTTAGCTCTCAGGTTCTCCGTTTCCTTACGAGTCTCAGGGAAACCCGCAGGGTGAAAAGGAGAACTGTTACCTGTACTGCAAAATGGTGACATACAGCGAGTGTGTCTGTAAGGAGATGAAGACCTATTTGCAGCAGAAATCAGGGTTGATTCAGAGTTGAACTTCTTCCCAATGCTTGGATGAACTGGTGACTGAACTTTACCACCCAACTTGTGCTTAGAAACTGAATCAAGGGCCAGCTGGAAAATGTACAAGAACTAATAGTCAGCTAGTATCTAATCATATCAAGAAGGGACTAATAGAAGTTCAGGTCAGGATTCTAGAGGTGTAACCTTTTTTACAGATTGGAATCGATATTTGAGTTGAGCAACCTTGCTTGACTTCACTTGATCATGACTTGGGGATGTTATTGGAGAGTTGTGTTTGGCTTTAAAACCAGACACAGTATTAAGCATGCCAAGAGAGTCTTTAAAGCACAATTGTGGCAACATCCCACAACCTTTCTTTGAAAGATAGGCATACTCAGAAACATCATCATCTTTATCATCCGCCCCGCCTTCTTCATCATCAATGTCTTGATGGTAGTAATAAGACTCATCATACCTATTAGGAGTTTGCTGCTTATCCCCCGGTACTAACTCTCTCATCTGTATCATTGGTTCAGGCATAAAAGTGGATGGTTTTCGACTCGAAGCATAGTGAGGCTGCTCCACAGTCATAGCTTTGGCAGCCGGTAAAAAACGACTCATCATGAAATCCCGAGATTGAGCATCCAGTGGTTTCTTGGTCTCAACACCACCATATTCACTCACACCACTAATACTATTGTTAAAAGAAAACGAGTCCTTTGGAGAGAGTGTATCAAGAGCATCAGAAAACACATCATCTTCATCATCCTCTGATTCTTCAACTTGTTTACCTTTTGAACTCTGCAATCTTGTCATGTTTCCATCAACGGCTTTACCCGGTGGAAGACATGGTGCAAAGACTTGTTCTTTTTCTTGCGTCAAAACACAGACTTGGGGTCTGAAACCATTGCCCTTTAATCTCCCAGGAGTTTGCTCCCAAGTGAAAGGAACAGAGGCAGGTTCAGTAACCTCATCATCTGGAACAGGAGGACATTCACTTGTCTTAGAATCATAATCAAGAAAGTTATTACTCTTGTTTCTACGCACAGAGACCGCTGCTGTCTTCTGCATCCGCCTTGTTGAAAGAAGAGGTACGTTGAAGTTCAGTTTCCTCTCCTCCATAGTAAGAGAGCTAGTTTAGTTGTTAGGATATGGCTCACAGACCAAGGAAGCTCATTGATGAAACCAGAAGCAGTTCTCTAGAACAGATCTGATAAAAAAACAAAACATAACAGTTTTTCAGTAATCTTGAATTTTATCCATACAAAAAACATATAATAATCATATAGAATTATAGATGATCTCTTTCTCTATGTATAAAGCATTAAGATAGATAGAAACAAAAAGAAAAGACCTCTCTGTGAGCTTTTACTACTAGAAACTTCAATTTTAATATAATATTTACGCAACACCGCTAGTATCAAAATTCAGACCCGTGATATCAATCATTATCGCAATTGAGTGAGTACAATCACTAATAGAAGATTGTGACGATCTCATAATCGTTGTATACATAAGTAGAGTAGAGAATAATAGTAACAAATCTCAAGAAATGAAGAACTATGTGCAAGATTTAGATGCAGAACTGAGGATAATGTACGGAGAAAGTAACGCTCCAGAAAAATTCTAATCGATAATCAAACTAAAATAACCTCGTCGACGAGGTCGATTCATTCTACAAACAAAATTTCCAGAAAAAATAAAACAAGAAGCGAAAGTAGGAGAAGTCGTTTTAGAGCGACAAGGATTGAGATCAAATGTTACCAGAAAGAAAAGCACAAATCGGAAATTGAACCGTTGGAGCCGCTTGAAACGTTTTTCCACGCGGAGAGGAAGAGGCTTGAGAGTTAAGGAGACTAAAGACTTGAGTTGAGTAAACGTAACAGAGAGAGAAGGTGAGCTTTAGGAGGATGTGCCGTGAAGATGAAGGAGACGAAGATGGGACTGGAGAAGAAAAAGGTAGTCACGAGCTGATTGGCGCTTTTGGACTCTTCTTCACTTCTCTTCTTCTTTACTATTTTGTATTTACACTTTCTCTCATTTATTTTCTCTATTGGTCAAAGATCCAGTCTGCCTCTATATCAACATGAATAGTGGTCGGCTATTTAAGAATATTTAACCGAACCAAACCAAATTTGGTTATAACATCAAATTGGATGTGCTTGGTAATTCTGTCTCGAACCAGTACGGAAATGTAACCATTAACAAAATTGATATCAAAATAGAGGGAAAAAACCCGAAAAAACCGTCATCTATTTTTTTTTTGGCCGTTTAATACACGTGTTATTAAAGTTGGAATAAAAATGCCTGGTTTAATTTCAATTGCCTTTTAAAATCGTCGTGTTTTTAAATTTGGTATAATCATACACCCGCGTTAACAGTCGTTAACTTTGCTAACGGAATGACTAACTGCGGTTAATACTTAACCCATGGTGTTAACGTGTATATATATACAATCTCTTTTTAAAACTTAACGAATATATAGTCTTAGTCAAGTGGTTAAACGTTGGACGACTACCCTAGAGGACTTGGGTTCGATGCCTCCCGTCGTCTCTTTTCAAATGTTTTTTTAATATGCAATTATATATTTTATATGGATCTGATTTTAATTTATAATTTTAAATTTTGATTTTTATTTTGAATTACGAATTCTAAAAACTCTAATTTTAATTTATAAATAGAAAAAGTAATAATTTAAAACAAAATTTACAAAATATATTTTGTATGAGAAATAATAACTAAAATATCACAAAAAAACAAAAAAAACAAAAAAAACAAAAAAATATCTTCTACTCTTTCTCTCTGAATCCCTTTGCCTTCTCTTCAATTCTCTGCAGAACTTAAGTCTTTGAATACCTGAAAGACTTCCATATTCTTCAGATTCCTCATCCTATCAATAAAACTTAGCAACATATAAATCAAAATCTGTAAATAACAAGATTTCATTGAAAATAACTCATACAAATCAATCATCACAAAATCAGGAAAAATTGAGACACTAACCTCATCAAGGCCTTTAGGACCAAAGACTAACAAAGCGACAACACCAATAACTAAAGCCTCAGGTGCTCCAACAGCAAACAAAGACGCAAAATTCATCGTACCCTTACATCTTCTCTTCTTCTCTGTACACAATTACCCAAACCTCAGAAAAGTGAACATCTTTACAAATACCCAGAAACAAAAAAGAATCAATTTTGTGAAATCGTCACCTGGGTTTGAAGATTTGGGAGAAGAACCCATGAGAGAAAACCATGAAGAGAGGTTAGGCTTCGAAGATTGAAACCTTGTAACGGTTTCGAAGATCTGGGTTTAGAGGAAATTGAACTAAGAGAGGATCTCCTTAGTGGATATAGGATTAGGGTTTCAAAGAGGCGGAGGCGGCGGTAACTGAGATTGAACAGAGGAACGAAGGCTTCCTTTCTCTTCAATGAAGTAAAAAAAAAAATTAAAGAAAAAATAAAAAAACGCTTGAAAAGAGAAGAAGGCAAGCATCGAACCCAGGTCCACTAGGGTAGTCGGAAAACGTTTAGCCACTTGACTAAGACGATATATTCGTTAAGTTTAAAAAAGAGATTGTATATATACACACGTTAACACCATGGGTTAAGTATTAACCGCGGTTAGTCATTCCGTTAGTAGAGTTAACGACTGTTAACGCAGATGTATGATTATACCAAGTTTTAAAACACGACGATTTTAAAAGGCAATTGAAATTAAACCAGGCATTTTTATTCCAACTTTAATAACACGCGTATTAAACGGCCAAAAAAAAAATAGATGACGGTTTTTTCGGGTTTTTTCCCTCAAAATAGATACAAAGAAAAATACTCACTTTCTTTTTGTACTGTTCTTTTTTTTTTTTTGGAATGACTAAGAGATGTTTTGGATCTAGGCCTGTACATTTCTTTAGGACAAGAACCAAAACAATTTATATGATTTCTTTTAAATCGCGACCTCTAAACTTTTCCTTACTAGTTGAGGTATTGACACTTAGTTTTGTACTGCTCTCTCTACTCATTATTTACTTTGTATCACTGTTCATTAGCAGTTGATCGTTTTACAATTACAAAATAATATACACAGTTGATTATTTGGTGGCATATCAAAAATCCATAGATCTATCTTCAATGCAATGTTATTTATAAGTTTATAAACTGATCACGACTGACTATGGTAGAGTGATTATTAGATAATTAAACAATTATGAGACGCCTTTTCACATTTCACTTGCATATCATCATTAATAGGTGTGGACCGATTAGAGAATGATAGGGGAAAGCAAAGAATTTTTGGCTCAACCAACTCAATCTATCATTTAATTTTATAATTACTTCAGATGAACAAATAAATAAATAAACACCAACTTCTCACTTATTATTTCAATCAATATATGCTGTTATTATATGAACTTTATAAATTTTAAAAAAAAAGTGTACACTTGTCTTCATATCTTCCAAAAGTTTGGATATTGCTTACACTGAAGTAAGCTTACATAATGCAAAATCTGTATATAAATTTTTTTTCTGATATATAAGATATTTAATTCAAATAAACAATACCATAATTCTTCATCTTTATTAGAAATTAAAACTCACCTAACCAGTGAATATTCTATTACACAAAAGAGAGATTAGTAAAATTCAATTTTGTTTTTGTGTGTTTACTAAAAGGATTAAACGGTTGGCTAACGAACGCTCTTGTCAGCAGGCTGCTTTCAAACACCGTTGCGGGGTTGCCCTCATAAACGTATTTGCATGCTAAGTGCCAAATGCTAATTATTGATATTTATTTTTAGCCAACTATTAATTTTATTTCTTTATTACTAATTCTTAAAAATTAAAACAAAATTAGTTAGGCAACACTAGACTTACTAATTCTTTGGAAATGCTTGTGTTTGTCGGTGGCTTGTGATCAATCACACACAACATTATTTGAATGTACTACATTTATGTTTAGTTGTTTATAAATCAATTTACTTAACGTGAAACTAGATGGAGGAAAAAAAAAAAAAAACGTGAAACTAGATTTTTTACATGGTGTTATAATAATGTTAACACGTTCGCATCAGCCGACCGGAAAAGGTGGTGTTGAACGGTAATGGTTAAAAATTTGTGGTGGTCAAATTCCAGCACAAAAATAGTTGTGTTAGAGGACACAAATATTAAGGGAGAGAATGATTATTTGATTCTTGGAAAAACTAATTATTGAGTAATTGGATTGTATGATGACGGACAAAAATGAAATTAAGAGAAAGATTTTCCATTCATTTAATTTGTTTAGATAACTAGCATGTCACTCTTCTCTCCCTTTATCTTTTTATCATCCTCTTAATTTCATTTTTTTCCATTATCATACAATCCAATCACTCAAAAATCAATTAGCCTTGACTAATTGTTCAGACATAATAATTAAAACAGTAAAAGTGAAAAGCTATTATCATCATGCAATGGAATCCCATACTATACTGCAATTAACAAAGGAAAATTAAGAAGTTGAAAAAAATTGACAACTTATTTTTGTCTTTTAATTGACAACTTTTATTGTCAAATCCTATTCAACTATACTTTTTTTTCTTCTTCTAGTATGGTTACTTTTCTAGTGTTTAACTAAAAGAACTGATTAAAAAAAGTTTTAGTAATAGCCACAACCCATGATGTCACATAAGGACCCAAACATGTTGATCATGTGGCTTACATTTGTTCTAATATCCCAATAGATTGTAGCTTATCATCCATAAACCATATCCCACATCGTTTATTAATGAATTGCTAAGCTTTTTCTTTAACTTTACTCTGTATAAGTGTTCGAGCCTGATTTTATATTCGAAAATGCCTAGGTAACGAAGCCAACTTTTATACTTCCTACGATCTTTAAATAAAATTGTTCAGAGGTAGAGAGGACACAATCCAAGGTGACATCAAAAAGTGAACCAAAAATTAACGAAATAGAACAAATAAAAGTGTCTTAAAATTAAGCAGAGAGATAGGGAACGAAGAAATAAGATCATTGAACAGAAAAAACTTGAAACAATCTAGTTCTGCTCTTGGGCTTCTGCAGCCTCCTTCTCTTCATTGGCTGCAGCCATTAATTCATCAAACTTCTCAGACTTGGCAAGCGTGATCTCAATCTACAAGTCACAAAGCCACAAAATTAGCAAACAACATAGCAAATTCCCAGAACAAAAATCATAGAATGGAGCTAAGAATTCCACAGCCTAAGAAATTTATCGAATGATTCGAAAATATACCTTGGCTTTCTGCACAGGACGACCCCTTGAATCATCCTTGATATCCACAGTCGAGGTCATGATCTCTACAGGATAAAACAAGTTCCAAATAAGCAAAACTTAGTCACTGAATCTTCCAAAACATTAGCTCATTCAGGAATAAGAAGATCTTACTCTTTTCAACAGCAAAGCCATTGTTCTTCAATATCTCAGCAACCGTAACAACAGTAGCAATGGCTGCACAATGCACAAATCAAATGTTTTATGAGAAACCAGAATAATCTCTTCCAATAAATAAAGCTCTGATAAGATAAAGAGTTAAGACAATCTCATAGAGAAGATAAAAGATTCTATCTCATGATAAAAAAAAGGAAACAGCTTTTCTAGAAACTTTGAACCTTAAATGAACTCAGTTACATAATTCTCAATTAATTAGAGATTGCTTAAACCAAACATTAGATTTTGAATATATACACAAAGATCATAAAGAGAACATTACCCATTCCTAGTGCAGACAATTCGACATCAGTGTACTGCTGCATGTACCTCTGTGAAAAACAAACAAACAAACAGAGTCAATAACATTAACAAATCTAAAGGGCAAAAACAAAGTTCATAAATCTAAGGCACAAACATTGATAAAGAGTCACATAAACAACGCAGAGCCACCATTATAGCAGATAAATTAACCAATCACAGAAATTTCAAGACATAGAGTACTCTAATAAGAACACTACGAATCCATAGATTTCAATCTAAAGACGAATTTATTAATATTCGATTTAAAGGGTTTTGTTACCTTGGCGAGATTGACGTAGAAGAACAATGGTTTCTTAGTGTTGGAAACTTGAATCCGATTCTTCTTCTGGGTATCAACAGCCAAGTTCATGTTGTTAACTCCTTCCGTGATCTCTTCCATTGAATCTAACCTCAAAAAAATTAAAACTTTTCTTCTCGAATTTAGATTTCTCTCTCAACTTTATCTCAGAAACGAATGAAATTGAAGACAAAAGAGACGATGGAGCTTCTCCGTAAGAAGAACCAAACCCCCAAAAAACCCTAACTTGAATTCCCAAACGACACCGTTTCACAACCTCGAAAATGGGCCCTGTTACAGCCCAATAGGCCCGATTCAGAGATTAATTCTGCGATGAGCAAAATCGGCGTTATCCGATCAGATCGTTGAATTGAATCTTCGAGAAGACTCAAAAACTTTTCCATTGATTCAATCACTCACCGGAGAAGAAGAAGAAGCTATGCCGGTGTTTAAAGCTCCGTTCAATGGCTACTCTGTGAAATTCAGTCCATTCTACGAGTCACGCCTCGCCGTCGCAACAGCTCAGAACTTCGGAATTCTCGGAAACGGTCGAATCCATGTACTCGAGCTTGCTCCTGGAGCTCCCGGAGTAACCGAATCCGTCGCGTACGATACAGCAGACGCTGTATACGACGTCTGTTGGTCAGAATCTCATGACTCTGTACTCATCGCCGCAATTGGTGACGGCTCAGTGAAGATTTACGACACAGCTCTTCCTCCTCCTTCTAATCCGATTCGATCATTCCAAGAGCACGCGCGTGAGGTTCAATCTTTGGATTACAATCCCACGCGCCGTGATTCGTTTCTCACTTCTTCGTGGGATGATACCGTGAAGCTTTGGGCTATGGATCGTCCGGCGAGTGTTAGGACTTTTAAGGAGCATGTTTATTGCGTTTATCAAGCGGTTTGGAATCCTAAACATGGTGATGTGTTTGCTTCTGCTTCTGGAGATTGTACTGTGAGGATTTGGGATGTTAGAGAACCTGGATCAACTATGATCATCCCTGGTCATGAATATGAGATTTTGTCTTGTGATTGGAATAAGTATGATGATTGTATTTTAGCTACTTCTTCAGTGGACAAGACGGTTAAGGTATGGGACGTTAGGAGTTATAGAGTTCCTTTGGCTGTGCTTAATGGTCATGGATATGCGGTGAGGAAAGTGAAATTCTCGCCGCATAGGAGGAGTTTGATAGCTTCTTGTTCTTATGATATGACTGTTTGTCTTTGGGATTATATGGTGGAAGATGCGTTGGTTGGTAGGTATGATCATCATACAGAGTTTGCGGTTGGGATCGATATGAGTGTTCTTGTTGAAGGTTTAATGGCGAGCACTGGTTGGGATGAGCTTGTTTACGTTTGGCAGCAAGGGATGGATCCTAGAGCGAGTTGATCATTAGTAAGTTTGTGATTGCAAAACAGTTTCCTCTTTATTTGGTGTGGAATTGGTTTGGTTTTGTCGAAACGAATGTAGTTGGAATAAAGTTGGGATCTTGCTTAAAAAGCAATGTAAGCTATTGAAATTTTACAGATGAACAAGGTTATCTTTTGAATTGTGATTGATGATAATAGATAGACTGCTCATGTTCTAGTGTATATGTTAGCCTGTTACAATGAGACCTGATCGAAGCACTTCTTGCTTTTTTGGTGGACGTATATCTCGAGCTGGCATATGATCTGAAGATATCGAAAACAAAGTTCAAATCTTGATTAGAGCAATGTAATTGTAGGCTGCAACTAGCATGTTACAAATCCAATGCGATATTGAAGAAAGCTCCTCGTTGGATTGTGAAATGTGCAGTTATTATACCATCTTGAGTCTCTGTCTCTTCTACTTAGTTGTTCAACATGCACACACACTTTGAAGATGATTATAGCTACTGTGAGTTTTTCTTTTAACAGGAACATTTTGATGTTTTATATTTTTTTAAAAAATTATCATATATACCGATACACATTATATATACACATTTCCGTTTTATGTGTAGTCCAATTGTAACTCCTACCCAATAATTATAAAAAAAACTCCATTCTCCCACTAAAATACATTAAATATTTGATTATGTATATTGACCACAATTCATGAATTGAATGGTAAATATAACTCAATTTTATTAAATGACTCTACGATACAATAAACAAAGATGAAGAGAGTCCCCGAGAGTGATGACGAGGAGAAGAAGGAAACAGTTTCGTGCAATGGCTAAGTAGAATTAGGTTGCCTGCCTGTAAGTAATAAAGCTTAGTGTTACTTTTTGACGTTCTTGGTTTGGTAGTTGCATTTAGGTTGTAACATATTTGAACAACTGGTGGAAGTGTTTTATTGTGAATGTGTAGTATTTATTTATTAGTACTAGTATCTTTTATTGTGAATATAAAGCTTTGTTTGGAATGCAATCCGGTTTAACGTAACTAAACCATAAATTTCGGTTCTTTAACTTTAGTTTACTAATTACGGCTGACTGATTAAGGTTTGGTTATGAGTTAAGTGATGATGGTTAAAGATTCCTCGTATATTTAAAGATGTTGCAATGTGTCATAAAGATCAAGATGTATGTAATACACGAGGGAAAACCTTTGCTGATAGCAGCAGGATTCCTCGTATATTTCTGTAACAATCAATCTTTATTCCCACATTGAGATTTATCCCCGATGTTGCACAATGAACATCCCACGCCTATCTACTCTACCCTATGGAGTATCAGTTTTCAGAGCTAGACAAGACCACTTACGCCAATTTCTCTATTGCCTCAGAAAATCTACAGAGTACAAAATATAAAAAAAAAAGATATTACAAAACAAATAACTACACAAATCACAATCAAACGAAGAGCTTTCTTCACTAGCAATATCGCATTGCTTTTGCAACTTCCCCCATGTAACTTACTACCTTCAGCAGAATAAAATGTACTACTCCTCGGTTCCTTGTTATCAGTCTGATGCAGTGAGATGAGAATATTGGGATACGATCAATCCTGGTACTTGAAGTGGGATACGATCAATCCGGGTACCCGAAATATTTCGGATCGGTACCGATTCGGTTCCGGTTCTTACGGTTATAGGATTTAGTATCCATTCGGATATTTTCAAATTTTCGGTTCGGTTTGGTTCTTTTTGCTCCGTTTCCGCTTCTTTAAATAATACATGTAAATTATGATACTAACTTACGATCTCATATAAATTATTCTAATTTTAAAATACATTTTTAATCCTTAATTTTTGCTTCTAATTAAAAACTCTTCAATATACCATTACTATTCTAATTTCTAAATAACATTCGCAAATATTATTATTACACAGTTTCTTATTAATATTTCATAAACACTGATTAATATTTAATTTTTCTTTTTTTAGGTATTCATTTGATTTAAAATAAAACCCACCGGTTTTTAATTTATAAAACAGTGATAATATAGAAAGTTTTATTAATGTAACTATTTTTATTATATTATAATTATAAATAATAATATGTACTCAATCTTTTCAAATTTAGTATCCATTCGGATATTTTCAAATTTTCGGTTCGGTTTGGTTCTTTTTGCTCCGTTTCCGCTTCTTTACATTCGGTTCAGTTAATTTGCCCAGACCTTGTTACATTAAAATATATCATAAGTTTCTTTTTCCTAACTCTAACCATTTAAAAATATTTACGCATTATATGTTAAGACATGATTATCTAACTTTATATTTCTCTAATCTCAATTCAAAAGTTTTATATTTTGTGTTGTATATTTATTTTTTCGTTTTTTCATATTTAATTTATTTTTGTAAATTATTGATTTTTAATGAAAAGTAATAATTTAAATGTGTGATTTAATTTAGTTTTAGTTTTTGTTTTAATAAATAACATATGTGGAGCCCACAAAAATAATAAAATGTGATGACATGGATGCTGATGTGGACACCTTAGATGGAGAGACAACTCTCCCATTATATATATACAGTGAAACCTCTATAAATTAATACTCTATAAATTAATAACCTCTCTAAATTAATAAATTTTTCCGGTCCCGAGTTGGGACTAGTGTAAAATATGACATAAATCGATAAATTAATAAGATAATAATTTTTTTGAAAATCTCATGTAAACATATGGTCCCATCTATATCATAAATTAATAATTGTTTTAACTTCTCAATATATATATATATATATATACATTATATAAATTTATATATGTAATATATGAATTACTATAATATATATTTAATATATTATATGTAAAACATTTGATGGAATATGACTCTATTATTCGAAAAAAGTTTGTGTTATTTTTTAAACTTAATAATTGTTTCTCCACTTGTAATTAGTTTAAAAAAGATATTGTTTATAAAGTAAAAATTTATTTTTAGATAGAAAGTTTTGTAAGAAATTACAAAATTAGGAAAATTTCTCTATAAATTAATAATTATTAATTTATCGATAAATTAATACCTCTCTAAATTAATAAAAAATTTTGGTACCAAAATTTACTGTAGATGGCTGCGCTGCTTCTTCTTCTTCTTCTTCTTCTTCATTCTTCAAGGTTGATTGTTCTCTCAATCAAGCACTGAATTGGGTCTGTGAAATGATTCACCTCAATCTCTTCATTCTTTCCACCCTTGTTCTTCTGTGTGTACTTGCTATTGAATGAGATTGTCGTCACAGATTTCCGAATGGCTCCATATTTCTTCTTCAAATAATGATACACCGTTGCATCCTTCTTGTCATACCTTCGTTCAGCTTCGAGCTCCACTTCTCTTCTTTAAGACTCTCCACTGGAACATTGACCTTCCTCGCCGCAGCTGCAGCAACATGGCACGTGAATTAGATCTTCCTCTTCTTTGGGACAGATCCGCACTTAACAATAGCCTTAACAGCTTTGAACATTTCTTGAACAAGATTTTTCATTTTGAGCTTTGATTAAAGAAAGGATTAATGTATGAGTTATGAGTTATGGAATGCTCATACATATAGAAGAAGAATAAGTAGAAGAAGAATAAGAAAAAGAAGAAGAAAATATTGAATTTTGAAATCATCATTTTGATGATCAAAATTGGATCGTGTACTCTTTGGGGTTTCAGAGCTCACACAGAGCACAAAAGGAGAAAAAATGGAGCGTGAAGGGAGAAGAAAACGAAGAGAGAGCGAATCTTTGTTTATTATTATTTTTTTTTATTATTATTCTGAATAAAGAAGAAAAGAAAAGGCAAACTAATCGTCATGAGGATTAATAATTAAATATAAGGTTTTCGAATATAACGATGTTGGATACAAATGGATGACATATAGATGAATGGTTGGAAAATTTTGAGTTGAACAAAAAAAGTTGAACATCATTCAACTCATTCCTCTGCGAAATAATAGTTGAAATGGTTGAATAATTTTCCTTCATACTGCAAATGGTTGACACAAAATACCAAGTTGAAAGAGTTGAATGAACATTCAACTAATTTTTCACCATTTGAGATGAAAAAGTTGAAAAAAAGATTCAACCCATTCAACTTAAAACCTCAAAAATTGAACAAATTCTACAGCAATAATGTTCAACTCATTCAACTACAATTTTGTAGATGAATGGATTGAATGATTTTCAACCCAATATTTTCCAACTTAATATATTCAACCCATTCAATTTAAAACATCCATTTGTAGCATAATCTATTCATTTTTCCAACTTTTTGGGTTGAATGGGTTGAATCAATTTTTCAACTTATTCATCTCAAATGGTAAAAAATGAGATGAATGGTCATTCAACTCTTTCAACCTTTTATTTTAAGTCTACCATTTGCACTCAATAATTAGAGAATTTTTGAATCTAGTAAACATTCGTTTTTGTATCCACTATGTACACAATCATGTGATTATTCAAACAAATTGTGAAATTCCTCTCCCAATATCTCATAACTTCTAATTGAAGTTGGGTTTAAGAAAAAAAACCGAGTCAAGACCCAAATTCCAAATGATGACCTTACAAATTTTGAGGATAATAGTATGGGAAAATGCTAAATCGATAGAGACGTTTGAGGTATAGGTTTGGTGCAAAAGATTGATAACCCTGGCCTCATTTTCATCGACAAAATAGACTTCGTTATGTTCCATGCCAAGGTAGGAGATCAAAAGGAGACAAAAAGGGTCACCGTTTGATATGAGAATTGTTTTTTTTTTTCCTGATAAGATTGTAAATATCACTACAAAATAAAACGTTATACGTTTTATAAAGTGATTAACAATTTGCTTTAACCTAATATTGGTCCCATGCCAAAAAAAAAAAAAACATGAAAGCGAATACAAATCAAATTTCAATACATAGATAAAACCGTGAATTAGCCCCCAAGAGATGAAAGGCTTGAAGATCTTTGTTACGATGTCTTTGGTGATTGCAAGCTCTTTCACTTGTAGCATGTGGAATCAATGCTACCACTCCTAGAAACTAAGAGCATGTGTAGTGGGAGTCTTTCTCCCAAATCTCTCATATAAAAAAGAAATAATAAAAAAAATAAAAAGTATCATTTAATTGTGAGAGTCTCTCAAAAAAGTAGAAAAAGTCTCTCAAGTGATAGACTTTGAGAGACTTTCTCTACTTTTCTGAGAGACTCTCACAATTAAATAACACTTTTTATTATTTTATTATTTCTTTTTTATATGAGAGACTTGGGTGAGAGACTCCCATTGCACATGCTCTAAAGATGTTTTCGATCAGAGACGGCCTTCAAAATCATCTAATCGCGGCAATTCCAACTCAGTACAGATCAAGGCTTGAAGAGAACTACACTAAACAAGAAACGCTATTTCACTTTACCAAGATCATTCCCCAATGTTAGTACCACAAAGAAAATTAAAGAAATCATGCACAATCTAGAAGCCTTACTCTCGAAAACAAAAATGATGAAAGACATAGGCAACACAGCCAACTCACCATGGAGAACAATGGCTTGGGGTCTTGGGGAACAACGGAGGTGCGGGTGAGCGGGTCTCCACCGCAAAACTTCCCTACAACTCACTAAGCAAGAGCCCTCCTAAGGTGAAATCGAGCAGACTGTGCTAACGGGAATGAACTCGTCGGCTTAGACCGAGCACTAGCAGGCTTTGAGACCTGACACACTTCTTAACTAAAACCAGCTCAATGAAGATTATAAAAACAAAAGAACGAACCATGGGATAATTTGAGTCACTTATTTATAACTGATGCAATATATTTAATTTAACATCAATTAGAATAAGTAATGTTTTAATTTATTAGTTGGCATCAATTAAGTTAAATTGATACTAATTTATCTTAATTTGCATCACTTAAAGAAAAAGATAAAAAATAAAAATTGACATCAATTATTCAAATGATAGAAAGTTTACATGCTAACAAAAATTACAAATAAATAATTGATACAACACCAAGTAATTTTTTCTTTGTAAAATAAACTCATCATTATATTAAGTTTATAAAGGGGTTAGATGAATAAAAAATCTCATCGACACCAAGTAATTATTTAACATATCTATTTTAGTTAAATAATAAATAGTATGTAAGACTTTGTTAACGTATTTACATGATATCATATATAATTAATAATCTTTTAATTGATAAAATTTACTAATAAAAATTAACTAATTTTTGCATCAATAGTTTACAAGTGATGCAATTCTAACATCAATTATAAACGAATGATACATTTATTGAGCATAATTGTTAGAACCGTTACAAATACTAACATCATTTGTATTAAGTATTAACTGATGCAAAATTAACAAACGGAACAAATCAATCAAATATTGCATGTCACTTTTAATTTGTTTATATTTCCAATTACTAAATTTTGTTTTTCAAAAAGATTTTTTTTTAGTTTAATTGAACTCAAATAGTTCAAGTCTTGTCTAAATGGTGTTGGCAAAATTGCTAAATCTAACTTAATCCAATGCTTTTTTTTTCTTTTCAAATCACCTTTTACACGCTCTATTAGCTCAAAATTAAGGAAGTGAAAAGAAGTTCACCAAACACCAAAATGTGAAAGAAAAAAAAAAGAGTGAGAGAGGGGTCCATGAGTCAATCACTTTCAAAAGGAAAGCAAACCCACATGATCTTGCTTCCGGATATATTGAAAACACACTTCTCTTATTATCCTCTTTTCTTTCTTCTTTATTATAAATCATACAATTATATATATGTTCTCTCATTTAAATCAAAGAAGTTTTATGGAAATAAGCCAAAATTTGTTAAGGTTTGTAGGTAATTTTCTTTGTAAATGAAAGTTCGAAATTAGATATAAAGACGATCATACGACCAGTAAATGTATTGTTTTGTGATATACAAATTTCCGAAAAGTATAAATGAACTAGATTCGGACCCGCACGTTCGTGCGGGGTTATGTTTGTAGATGTATTTATTTGGTATAACATTCATTATCCTACCTCATATCAGTTTGGTATTCGGTTTAATTTCAATTTGGTTTAGACAAAATAACTAATCGGATTTGTTTTTGGTTACCGTAAAGACAATTGCATAATTAAAAAGAGAGAGAGAAAATAGACATATCAATTTTGAGACAGAAAATCTGTATGGTCACATATCTACCACACACATTTAATCACATAGGCGTTAATTTATTCGTTTGTGATTGTATATCGTGTAGGTCTAGGATTCGGATGGAATACCCGTATTTATGTATTTTTGTTTAGATATTTAATTTTTACATAATTAGTTGAATTTATCCATATTTTCTTTATTTTCTCAATATTTCACTATTATGTTTTAGAACATACCCAAATTTTTCAAAATTTCCATCACGAAATAAACTTTACACGTCCCAAAATCTTTTATTTGGCACATGCTATGCTAGATAAATTGAAAGAAACATTTTAAATATATGATTGCAAGCAATGTTTTATTTTAATTGTAATATGTTATACGACATTTTTTTAGGAATTCTCATCTCATCTTGTTCAAAAAGTCAGTTTCAATATTTAAGGTTAACACAATATTATAATCTTAACAATATGTTTACGAATCAAAGTATTAAATATAGATTTGAGTTATATGCTTGATTTAAAAAAAAATCTATAATTAGAGTTATATTTGGCAAGTATAATAACTGTTGTGATATGATTTCGTAAACTAATTTAAGATTTGATTTAATCGTAAACAGTTGTATTTTCTATTTTTATTATTTCAAATTTATTATTGTCAATTGTTATGGAAATCTTATTAAATCATAATAGTAAAAATTTAGTTTGTTTGAGTTTTGGATAGTTTAGACAAAAAATCTTTTTGAATATGTATTGTTAATGCTCCAACGAAATAAATATATATACTTTTTGAATATATATTTTTGACCAAAAGAAAAATGCTCAACAAAATATATATATATATATATATATATATATATTTCGAATTTTTTTCTTTTGTTTTTTAAATTCGATAATTCTAATGGCATTCATTGTAATTAATCTACCAAAATAAGGTTTGTTAGTTTTGAGTGATTCCCAATTAATAATATAGATAAGAAAAAGATTAACATTTACTGAAATCCAACAAGATGCGTGCATATCATGATTCAGTGAAAAGGATCCAAACTAAAGTTCGACTATTTCTTATTGGATTGACTTTTGATGTCACTTAACGACAACAAAACGAATAATAAAAGTTAACATCAAAAAAGACAATAGGAAAAAACACAAATTGCAAGTATGATAAGTTGGTTCTAATAGTTGTTATGTGGGTTTGGAAGAACCGTACTAGTTATTACTTTTCTTTTCTAGTTTATGAAATTCTTCTATGATATAAAATAAATCTTAATTGAATAATTTTAGCTGTCGATTGTTTATTACAAATTTACATAATAATATTGCAATCAAAGTATTTCATCAAGTTTCTTTTAAATGACTAAATCTATTTGGACTGACTAATGTTTTTGATCTCTAGGCTTAACTAAGTGAATTATGGAAAGTAATGTGTAATGTGTGGTGATGACATGATGAAGACCCAATGATGCTACAACATGTGTCTACCCATAAGCACCCAGCCTAGACGAACAACAATGTCCATTATAAGACATTGAAATTGATTATAAGATAATGAAGAAATAAAGAACAAGAAGAAGAAGAAAAAAATAATTGAAAGCTTTATAGCGAAGAAGAGGGGTCCCCTCAAAATGCTAATAGACGATGGATCCAAAAGGTAAAGTACATTTTGCATTACATCGTTGGGTGCAATTATTCATTCCATCTATCTCAACCCCTCTTTTGTTCCCTCTCCCCACCATTTGTATACAAAAGAATTCGAAATATTTATATTTGTTATTTGACATCTTTTTTTTCACCTTACTACTCCATTTGTTTGTTTATATAAAGGTATTGTTCAAATGATTCTACATCTTCCTATGGCTTATGTTCAAAGGAATGTTTTTCAAGGAATATATACCAAACTTTTAAATTTTATTTTTGGTAATATTGTTTTAGACTTTAAGACATATATATCGTCTCCTATCACCATCAAAAGGACAAGCCCACTTAGTTATCATCTCATGATTTTTTTTATACAGATCACAATTTGTAGTTCCCTATACTGTTGTTGGTGCAGTGTATGTATGCATATATAAATGAACAAGGCAGATCATGAAATTTAAAATAATCTTTCATAAGCTTTAGGTAAAATGTTAGTTCACAGAATATTTCAAAATCGAGCAATACCAAAATAATAAAAAAAAAATTAACATCTATTCCTAAATTCAGCCGCTGAAAAAGAGCAGAAAAAGAGCAACTAACAGAAACCATAAAACTATATATAATACACACTCACACAAAATATACACTATACAATAATAAAAGTTTACAAGACGACGACATCAAAATCGAAAATAATAAACGCACCAAAAGACATGACTATAAATAAATAATAAACACACATGGTCTAAATTCCTCAAAAGAGAAAAGAATTACAATTTAAATTTAGTTCTTCTTCAAGCTTCTCTCTTCAAGATCACTCTCTCATTTTCATCTTCAATCTTCTCTCATGAATTTTTACAAGAATCAAAGTCTTTAAATTATTTGTTTTTCTTCACTAAAAAAAAAACAAAGAGAATGAAGGAGACAATCAGGTGTTGCATCGCTTGCATTCTACCGTGTGGAGCTCTTGACGTGATCAGAATCGTTCATTCAAACGGACACGTGGAGGAGATCAGTGGCACGATCACCGCCAGAGAAATCATGAAGGCTCACCCGAAGCACGTACTCAAGAAACCATCTTCTCCACCGTCAGATCACGACGAGGGTGACGTCATCTCAGCCACAAAGATCGTCATCGTCCCTCCCGAAGCTGAGCTCCAACGTGGCAAGATTTATTTCCTCATGCCTGCTACTAAATCTGATAAACACGCCGGCGGAGGAAAGATCCGCCGGGAAAAAAGTAACGCAATAAACGCCGCCGTCAAGAAACGGTCACAGAATCGCCGGCAACATCGTGACGGTGATGAGAAATGTAACGGCGAAAATAATGACGTTAAAGATATAAACTACGAGAAGGATTTATTGATCTCGTCTGATCGATACTTGACGGAGATATTATCGGAGAAAGTGGCGACGCAAAAAGATCGGAGGAAAGGACGCGTCGGCGTTTGGAGGCCGCACTTAGAAAGCATATCGGAGATCATAAGTGAAGATTGAGAAAACGGCATCGTTTTTGTGGATTTCTTGATAGTAACAATAGCTTCTTTTTTTCACCTTCATTTTTTTTTTTAACTATCGGCGGCAGTTGTGCATTTCAATGAAAATATTCACGAAAAAAAAAGATTTTTACTTCGTATCAATCGCTTAATTTTTTAGATAATTCATCGCTTAAAAAAGATTTATACTTTTCTTATTAAACTTACTACTTAATTAGGTTGTTTAAATTTTAATTAATTTACATCAACAAACTAGTATTCAACATTTTAGGGTGTCTAAAACCTAAAATACGTGTGTTTTGCTTATAGATAATTAACGTATAAACAGAAATGCTAAGAAAAATGAGGAGTTTATATGAGATTATTTGATATTTTAGTTCTGAGCCATTGAGTTTGATTTGTGGTCATCAAATCATACCTGACAAAACAGTACCCAAGAGATCGTTGATGGTAGAGGACTCGGATCTTCTCATGTATGGGTATTTTTCTGTGACCGTCATGATCGTTCTGTATGTATCAGTGACATTTTTAACCCCCTTGGCTTCTAAGACAAACCCAAAAATGATTCCTCTGCCTCCGCTTACTGCTCTTAAGTCTTGCCAAAACAAAGTTTTTTGGACTGTGGCAATGTCCTCTTCTCCTCCTGATCAAGAAGATCAAGATTGGGTTGTTGCTATCAAGTTCTTGGGTAGACAGCTTAGTTTATGTAGTCCTCATCGTGACTTGCGGTGGACTAATATCGTAACTCCTTTGGATTTCTCGGAAAACTCGATTCTGATGTTTTCAAAAAGAGATCAAAGGTTCTACTTGCCTGCTCCTGGAGGCAACCACTTGTTCTCATATGATCTCAACTTTAAACAAGTCAAGAATCCTAACTTCCATGAGTTGCAGTTTCGTGACCTTCCGGAGTTGCCTCAATCCAAGCTGGAGCTGTTGTATTCGTGTTGTAGGACCGAATATCTTGTGGAGTCAGTCTCCACTGGTGAACATTTTCTTGTCAAATGGTATATATATATATATATCTATACTCTAGTAGTATGCATTTACATTGAATTGTTACAATGGCTGAAGCATATCTTTGGCTTTTCTTGCTTGCAGGTACGACGAAGGTTATTTAAAGAATGGGCGGGCCTACAAGACAAAGCGGTTCATGGTCTTTCGAGAGGTGGAGACGATGGAAGGAAGAAGAAACATGTGTTACACAGAGGACATTGGAGATATTTGCATCTCCAGCCTAACTCCATCTATTATATAGGCCATGGCTTTGGTATTTACGATCTTAGCACCGGAACCACCCGTTCGTTTCGACCTCCTGCGGGTGCACCAAACCAACTCACTGCCCCTTACTGGCTTTCCCCATTTTATATTTAGTGGCTACACTTGGTGTGTGTGTCTGATTCATACTGTTTTTATTTTTAATTCTTTTGGACCTATGAATCTTGGGATATTGAAATGTTAGGTGTGATTCTAGAATTATAAGCAACTGGATTTTGGAATAGTCAAGTTTTTGTATTCTAAGATAAATAGATCGCAACCCAAAAAACGTTCATACTTGTTGTTAGACAAACTATAAGACAGTACTTATGATGAAACAGAGGAAGTACCATTCCGGAATAAAAATATGAAACATTCTCCATTAATTACTGTTCTTTCGGCTGGTATTGCAACACTGACATGTTACTTACCCTCTAGATAATGTGAGACGGAAAATGCAAATGAGAGAAACTTCATACAAATCAATTCTGGATGCGTTTGCTTGTAATTTAATCTACTTCATCATGCAACTCCTTAGAGTAATATCATCATCCGAAGATAGGGTCTGTTATGTACAATCATATTATTTTGTTGTATGCAGCCATTTGCTTTTCTGTTGAACTTCTCCTTAAGTCCTTATTAGTTGCAGGTTTGCTCAAAATAGTAGTATTAACCTTATTCGGCAAAATTTGAGGGGCTAAAAACGGTTTAGGGGCGCCGAGCTAATTTAGGGCCAAGTTGGGCTGCGTCCTAAAACCATTATTCACATCCGTAAGATGAATATGAGTTTATGGTCAAGTATTAACCAGCTTTCAAATATGTCAAACTTTCATTTTATTTTTCCATGTGCATAATTGTCTCAATGGCACAAAACTTATATATATATCTCATAATAATTTTGGATATATCAATGTTTGTAATGCGATCGCAGTCTAAAGCTTGATAAACGTGTAAACAACACTCTTAATTGACAGAAAACATCTGTTTTTACTATTTTGGTGGTGGAAAGAACAACTAAGCAAATTACGAATGAGGGTTCCTACATTTTGGTAACCACAATGACTTCCCTGTTTTTAATATGCCACAATGAAAGAACATAGAAAACAAAACTCGACTAGAGATGTAGTCCAAGTCTTCCGAATTTGTTTTTCTTAATCTTGATGACTTTCCCGGCCATATCATAGCTGGTTTTTGGAAGCTCATAATACAACCGAATACAAATTCAATAATATTTCTTACAACAAGAGCAATAACCATATAGCTATTTGATCAACTCTCTCGACTAAACATGATGAATACAAAATGTGGAACAGAATATTAATCGAACAAGCACCAACATTGTTTTGTATGGACATCGCTTCCTACAACCTGTGCAAGATGGTCGAGACATATGATTGTTGGGCACAACAAATAGCTCTTTTCCATCCTTGTAGATACACAATGAACCGGGCTTCATGTATAAGTCCTTCCCAATCAGACATCTGATGTGTAAGGTGACACAACAATATTCGTCACACATATAAAACCGGTCTTTCGGATTTACTTTTCCCTCGCAGACTTCACACCAATATGTCATGGTATTTGTCTCCTTCCCATAAGAAAGAGTGAGAATATGATTATCATGCTTATACCTCACATTTTGAGGTAAAGTAGCACATCCAAAACACAAAGCAAAGTCGCATTTGATGCAATTGAATGTTTCATTTGTACATTCAAGTCTTGAATCTTTGCAAACCGAACATCCTCTTTGCTCTCCTGGTTTAGATGTTAGGAATAAAGGATCCATATGACTTCCATGGACCAATGGCTCAGAAATTGTGGCACACTGCACATGTAACTTAAAATAACATCCTTCTTTAACACACACATAGAAAAAACCAGCTATGCACGACCAAGGACAAGCTGAACACTTATCCTCATACTTTCTAACATCATTATATCCTCCCGCTAGGGAGAGCATATGTGGATGTATCGGGTGATGTATTTTGCGAGATAAATTCGCACATTCTTCGTGAAGAATGAAGCTACATTGCATACAAGAGTAGAGGTTACCGAAATAGATGGGCGTGATGCATGCATCACACAGCATACTGTCATCATAATCTCTGTCTTTGTTCTCATCAAGTCTCAAATGATGTTGTTGATGACTAAAATGTTGTATGATTCCATCACTTATCGTCACAAACGGCTCAACTTCTTCTTCAATTTCTTCTAACACTCCTTCAAGTTCTATGCCATCCCACACATTTCTTTGTGTGGCACATCTTGAATGTGCTCCATACGAACAATTGTCCTTGATGCAAGAATAACCTCCATAATCGCTGTCGATCTTTTCGCGACAAACACCACAAGATCTATCTTGTTGGTCGAACAAAGGGGTAAAGGAGATACGATGGGGATGGCGAGATATCCTTATGACACGTGGTAAGTTGATACATCTTAGATGGACCACAAAATCACAAGGGGGACACATATAGATAGGAGAGCTTGCATCGGCCAAGGCGCAGACATTGCAAGTTAAGAAAGCTTGTCTAGGAAACAGAGCAAGTGTATGATTATGCCAATTCGGATGGTCTATATATAAGACTGGTGGTTTCTCCGCACAAGCTATATTCATAGCATAATCACAATCCGAGCAATAGTAGAATATCTTTTCGAGATCCTCATCACAACAAAAACATTTTCTGGTTTGAATTCTCGACGACTTTTGCGAGACAAGCTGAAGAGAATGTTTTGGATGAAGAGGGTGCTTTACCTCAACCGGAGTCTTTTCACATTCTTCATGGTCCTCCCCGTTGCAATCTTTGCAGCGAAAATGAGAAGCGTCTTCTCCTCTCGCTAAGTAGAGTTTCACCCGGCTTACGGGGTGACATATCCCCTTTTCTTTGCTCTTCCGCTCCACTTTTCCGGTCACATGAAATTTTCCTTGTACAAGTTGTACTTTAAATTGAGGCGACAATGAAATAAGCTGATCCGGCCCCCATTCAGACTCCGACTCCGAAGCCAAATCCGTAGAGCTGACGAGAGTGAGTATTTGAGAAAGGAGTGTGGGTAGCTCCGAATCCCAATCCATATAGTAGAACTTTAAATATATATGAGCCATGAGTGACAAGAGTTGTGCTGGTGGCTCCGGCTCCAGGTCTATAGAGCTGATGATATTGGTCATTTGAGTCACGAGTGATATGAGCTCCCACTCCGGTTCCTTATCCGATATAGAGTTGCCGACAGAGATTACTTGCTTAATGAGTGATATGAGCTCTGACTCTTGCTCCGGCTGCGAATCCAAATCCATAGAGCTGACGAGAGAGATTAGTTGACTAAAAAGTAATATAATTGATTTTGTTTTGGACATCTTTTGCGACTCATCCAACTCCCCATCCGTCTCCACAAAGGAACCGATTGAGACTATTTGAGAAATGACTGATATGAGCTTCGACTCCATCTCCGAATCTGAATCCGAATCCGAATCTATGAACTCCTGCTCCGGCGAGATGAAGAGAAATATTTGAGTGATCATTGATATGAGCTCCGGTCTCGGCTCGAGTTTGAATGTTTCAGAGTAGAATGACATAAACTCTGAATTAGGCTTTGTTGGCTCAGAATCCGAATCTATAGAGTTTTGGAGAGATACTTCTTGAGTAATGAGTGATATGAGCTTCCTTAACGGCTCCGGCTGGGAATCCAAATCCATGGAGTTGAAGAGAGAAATTGTTTGAGCTATGAGTGACATGAGCTTTGTCTCGGGCTTCGGCTGCGAATCCAAATCCATTGAGCTAACGAGAGAGATTATTTGAATAATAGTACATGATACAAGCTCCAAATCTGTAGAGTTGTTTAGAGAGATCAACTGAGTAGCAAGTGATATGAGCTTCAACTCCGGAGAATCCATAGAGTTGCCGAGAGAGAAACGATTATTTGAGTAACGAGAGATTTTGAGTTTGAAATGTGATTATTAACTTAGTGTTTCCGAATGCCAATTGTAATAAAAACACATCTTACACATATAACAATATTAGTACTATATACGTGTTAATCACGATACAATCTCAAGCTTACAGGTTGTCCGACTAACCAAGTCAACGATTGATTTATAGATTAGATATATAACTCATCGATAGTTACGTACTAGTAGTCTTACAATAATACAACTAGCATTCGAGTTTCTAAACTAATAAGAATTAGCCTACGCAACTTTCACAAAACAACAAAATCATTTATTGAATGACGTTTCCTTTATGAGGTCGTCCCAACGCAAAGTCAATGATCGATTTGGAGATTATAACAGATATAATAATAGTGCAATAGTGCAACTTGCTGGCATTTATATATGTTGAGAATCTATCACCAACTGATCACGAAGTTCAGGCGGCTAAAAAATACACTCGGTTTAGGATAAGCAACTGGATTTTGGAATAGTCAAGTTGTATAACTTTTATATTCTAAGATAATAGGAGATCACAACCCAAAAAAACATTCATTCTTGTTGTTAGACAAACTATAAGACGGTACTTATGATGAAACAGAGGAAGTACCATTAACGGAAGCAAAATATGAAACATGTCTTTATTAACTGTTCTTCTGGCTGGTATTGCAACACTGACATGTTTGGGAAACAAAATCTGATTTCTATCATCATCTTCATCTCATTCACTAGTTCATACCTCAAGTACTAGACTTGGTTTTACAAAGTTAAACACCTTACTTTAAACAATAACAACTCTTAACCACTCAAATTTAGCTAGTCTTTAACTAACAAAACACTCTTTCTTATTGGCCTAACCAAACTAATGGCCCATTACTTCTTAATTTAGTTTATTGTGACAAGAGTCACAACACAACTCTTCTTACACTTCTTCTTGGCTCGTTGACTTGCTTCTTATTCTTCTTCCTTCAATCACGAACCTTTGCTTCCTCTGTTGCTTCCATTTCTTCTTTGCTCCTCTTCTTCTTCTCATTGATTTCTTTTTTCTCTTTTTCAGGTTTAATCAAAGGTTCATACTCCAACATTCTCACATTCTTTTTTCTCTTTCTCTTCATATGGAGGTTTATCTTTAAAAGGAACGAGTGTTTGGAGGCTTAAAGACTTCACTTTCATTTTGCTAAATAATACTAGTATAACCAATGTTAAACTATCTAGCTGGTAAAAATTAATTAGTTTACATAGTTGGTATAGGCTCTCTGGTAAAAAAAAAAACAGAACTTCTTGGTAGTCATCAAACAGAAAGTGCTTGTATGATAAAGGAAGTATAGGGCAATTCAATTTTGTGTACTGTCAGATGACTGGCAATTTTGTGTAAGTCCATAAACACAACAATTTTGTGTACTGGCAATTCAATGTATTTTTGTATTAATAAACATATTAATATTTAAATAATATGTTTTTTTTTTAAATTAATCCAATTTTGTTTTGTATAAATTCAAAAAATCTGAAAAACAAATCTAAAAAATCTGAAAATCAAAAGAAAACACCAGATTTATGGACTTAATTATACCAAATTTAATTGAACTTCTTTTTACGGGCCTAGTTTAATTAAATTAGATATTGGGCCACCAATTTTGAACTGAGCCCAAACCCAAACGAATCTCTCTTTCTCGATGGCGACAAAGAGAATTGCGAAGCTTCCTATGGACACTACTGCAACTTCCGGTGTACTGCACTAAAATATCCGACGAGTTTGACATCAATTCCACCTTCTTCATCATTCTCCCTTTATTTTCCTTCCTTCTTATTGAAGCACTTCAATTTTGCGATTGAATTTTGAGAGAGTTTCGCGCTGCCAATGTCTCTGTTTCTGATGCACCGTTCTAAGCTCGCTCACCTCGTAAGCTTCTCTGTTCCTTTCCTTGTTTCGTTTGTAAAGTCTTAGTTAGGTTAGAAGAAAGATGCCAATTTTGTACTACTTAAGAAATTAGAGTTTAGGTGAGTCTCTTAAGTAACGACATCTAGAGACAAACAAAAGGAACAATGATAAGGATTAAAGGGTTGAGATCGCTTCAATTGTGTGTTTGATATCTCTCTTACTTACTTTGTTTTGGCAGATACAAAAGAAATGCTTTTCTTCATCCGTGACAGGACCGTTTCTGAGGATTGGCCAAAGGATGAAGGATGATGGTAGTATAGGAGAGGACGTTTTCTTGAATGCGGCCAAGGAAGAGTTATTCCATCTCCCCAAAAAGCCACTTCCCCAGAAGCTTGCTAACTCAAGAATCATCGGAGCTTCAAAAGGATGGGGCTTTTACATTGATTTGTGTGACGGTGCCTTATCTATATCTGACGTTTTGAACCCGCTTGCTTCAAAGGTGATACATTTGCCTCCTTTTGATGATATGTACACTTGCCAGACCGAAGCCTTATACAACGTGGCAGTGACCTCTTCTTCTACTTGTCATCATGATGAAGATTTGGTAGTTGCTGTCAAGTTTTTGGGTACACAAAAGCTTAGTCTCATTAGACCCAATTGTGACATGAGTTGGACTAGCATCGTACCTCCTTTCACCTTTATGGAAAACTCAAATCTGATGTATTCAAAGAGAGATCAAAGATTCTACTTGCCTGTTCCTAGAAGCAACCACTTGTGCTCGTGGGATCTCCAAGGCCAGAGTTTTAAGGACCATAAGCTTCTGTATCAGAACCGTACCAAGTTGTCACAGTCCAAGCACGAGCTCTTTGATTCGTGTTCCAAGGCAGAACACTGGGTGGAGTCACCCTCAGGAGAACGTTTCCTAGTCAAATGCTACTCATATGTCTCTCCGTCTCAGAATAGAGAGCCGATATTCGTGGTCTATAGAGAAGAAGAGACGACGAAGAGGGGAACAATCATTTGTCAAACAGAAGACATTGGAGATTTGTGCATCTTCATTTCAGGGACTGACCCTTTCTGCGTTGAAGCTAGCTTATGCCCTGGTCTAGTCCCCAACTCCATCTATCTAATGGAATCGATCTGTGGTGTTTACGATATCGCCACCAGAAGTATCCGTCATTTTGAAAACCAAGTTGAAAAACCAGAAGATTATGAGTTTGACAGCCTCCCTTTCTGGCTTCCTCCCACTTCTATATAGCTCTCTATCTTTTATGTTTTGTTGATGTGTTTAGGTTTTATGGTTACTAGAAGAATCATTGATGAGTCTACTGACGAAGAGACAAGATCCATTTGAAAATGTGATCAAGTAATATATTAGTGATGGTCGATGTAGTTATTTGGTGCATTTGCATTGTCAAGTGTATGGTTTTAAATATGTTATGAAGTTGATGTATGGGCTTTAAACAATGATATTGTCAGATTTCATTGGTTTCTCTTTGGTTTTCTTATTTTTACGCACTCTCTTTGCAGTCCCTTCTAGCAGCTCTTGGATCCATTCAATTTGTATCCAACATAGCATTTGCTTATGTTGTATTGAACAAAATGGTGACTGTCAAGTATGCAAATAACCTTGCTGCAATCTTTAACATGCATTATCGATTAAGTAAGTATCTGCTTTTCTAATATCTTTGGTATGCCTTGGTCACAGAGTACTCGTTGCTACAGCCTTTATAGTTCTTGGAAACGTTTTCCTTGTCGCTTTTGGTAATCACTAGTCACCAGGTAACTATTCTTGAACAGATAGGTTTTGGTCTATCGTTTTTTCAGAAAGCGGGACCTAATGGAACTCTTCTGTGCTCAGTTTTCACACCCGAACAGTTGGCAGAGAAATATAGCAATGTAACATTCTTGGTCTACTGTGGGATTTTGATTTTAATAGTAGTCGTGCATCATTTCCTCTATAGGTGAGTCTTACATATGAAATTGTTCCCTGACTATTTTTCAACTAGCCGACCCCTTTTGTGATCTGTTTAATCGATATATTCAGGAAGGGAGAAGTTTTGATATCTATACCTTGACAAGAAATTAGCTCCTATTGGAAAATGCTGCTTCCTTTCTCATATGCAGTGGTCTCAGGTGCTATAGGATCATGTTCGGTTTTATTTACCAAGTCACTGTGAGTTTGCAAATCTACTGGCTTTACTTGAAAATCATATAGTTTTAGGTGCTAAATTTGTGTTTCATTTTGCAGCTCAAACTTGCTGAGATTGGCCATGTCTAGTAGCTATCAATTGCACAGCTGGTTCACATACTCTATGCTTCTTTTATTTCTTAGTACAGCCGGATTCTGAGTAAAAGCCGTAAACCTACTGAAATTTTTGGTGCTTTGTTGTGCCGTTAAGACAAGAAAGTTACTGAAGTAAAATCGTCTTTCATGTGCTTCTGTTGCAGATGACAAGATTGAATGAAGGATTGTCTCTATATGATGCAATTCTCATAGTTCTAATGTACATGGATTACAGAATTTTAAGAGTTCACTAGTGCCATAGATTAGATATAATAATATGACCTACTAACATCAAGAGACAACACATACAAACTACAATAAGACATCATTTATAGAGATGATGGGGATGGAATCCAGTAGGGGTCGCTGACCGAAGTCGGGACACCTTTAGGAGCTTGAAAATTATGGATCGTATTGTTGGTGAGACTGTAAATACCAAAGCCAGAGCCTATATAATAGATGCAATTAGGCTTGAGACCGGGGCACGAGCTCGCCTCGATGCAGAAAGCTTCACTCTTTGAAAGGAATATGCACACGTCTCCAATATCCTCCGTGTAACACATGTATGGTCCTTTCGTTGTCTCCTCTTCCCTAAACACCATAAACCGCTTTGTCATGTAGTCATATCTTTCATGACTCGACGAGAAGTCGCCATATACATACCTGCACCACAAGCAAGCAACATCAGACATTGAAACAGTTCATAGTTACTAGTAGCTAGACTGTATATACAAAATAAATATACCATTTGACAAAAAAAACGCTCGCCACTGGAAGCTGACTCCACCAAGTATTCCGACCTGCCGCAACACGCATCCAACATCCCCCATTCGGACTCATCCAACTCGGGAATGTCACGGAATATCAACTCATGGAACTTAGGGCTTTCGTTATTTTCCAAGTTGAGATCCCATGAGAACAAGAAGTTGCCTCTCGGAACAGGCAAGTAGAATCTTTGATCTCTCTTGGAAAACATCAAATTCGCGGTTTCCCACTTCACCGAGCTCTCAACAGAACGTATCTCAATGTTAGTCCAGCTCTTATCACAATGTGGTCTACATAGACTGAGCACTAAACCCCTGGACTTGATACCAACAACACAGTCTTCCTCAGAAGGAGAAGAGGACATTGCAACGTTCCAGACATTGTCATCAATAAGTGAAGGTAAAGGAATCATCTTTGGGTTTGATTTGGAAGCTAAGAGATTATAAAGGTCGCTGATACATAAAGAATCATCTCTATCGTTAGAGAAAACTCCCCAACCATGAGAACTTCCAACTTGTCTGGACTCAACAAGTACTTTGGGAAAGGTTTTGTCAGAAACTGTAATCATCTCTTCTTTTGTCGGATCGAACAAGAGGACATCTCTGATGTTGCTACCGTCTGGTGAATCTTTCGTAAGCTTAGTTCCAATCTTCATATACGGCGGAGTCAATGAAAACGAACGGAAGCTCCTCTTGTGTATCTGCAAAAGATCAAAAACCTAATTCAAGTAGACAAAATTCAAGACAGAACAAAACCAGTAGAGATTTAACCTAAGAAACAGAACATCATCGTTAAGGAGATAGTGAGAGAAAGGAAGAGAAGCTTACACGTGCATAGTTACCAGGAGAGAGCTTCGAGAGTCCGATAAGAAGCCGAGACATTGTTGCAGATACACTTTGCAGCCCAAGTGTTCGACGATATTCCTCAAAGAACTAAGACCTTGAAACGAGAAAGAGCTTACTCAACTTTCTAAAAGTGAAACTTTGTTGTGTGTAATTGTTTATTATACAAATTGACTATATTATACGAATTGACATTTTAGTAACAGCAATGTAGCCGGATATTATTATTGTTTGTGGATTCATAAATTTTAATATAATAACTAAAATCTTGCACAATTTTACTTAAGATTATAGAATTTTTGGAGAGATATAGGACAGATTTAAACTATAGGACATGACACTGTAACTTCAGACTAGAAATGTTTTAAAGTTGCTTATCGTAGTGTGAATAAGAGAGAAAACAAGTGATGTAACTTCAAATTAGCATTTTTGTCACATGTTGTGCTTAAAATGTGTTTTACAAAATACTGGAAGTCTAGAAGAAAGTAGAAACTACATTTTAAATTGTAATCTGTATATTATGATATTTTAATCTCTAGATTAATTGAGGGAAAGCCATGATCTCTTTCCATATTCAACACGTGTTACTCAGTTTCATTAACACACAAACAAATAGTTTTCCCTCATCTTAAGTTCTTAACTTTGAGAGAGACATATTATCAAACTGGTTCCACAAACAAAATGTCATATTTGACTCACTTGCGTTATTTAAGCCAGTTTATCGATAAGAGGCATATTTTTGGTTTGATAATCATAATTCATCAATCTTTCAAACAAATATTACTCAATGGTCAATTATGCTTCCATGTTTGAGTTCTTGTATTTTAAATTATGCTTCCATGTTTTTAGCTTTTTTTGCCATGAGAGCATCACTTTAGATCTATAATTTAATGATTGTAAACCTAAATCGTTTCTATTTTCAATGAAATATTTACATTCTTAGCAAAAAAAAATTACTCAATGGTCAATTAAAACATTAATAACTAAAGTGACAAGAAGCGGATACAAAAATAAATGGATAACAAATTTATTGTGATGGACAAGAACTATAAATGTGGAATTCCACGGTTACAATTAAAAATTATCTACATTTCTTATACTTCCTCCGTTTCATGATATAAATTGTTTTGGATAAAATTTTTTGTTTCATAATAGAAATTTTTTTCAAGTTTCTATGCAAATTATATATTATATATATTTTTAATATTTTGTGATTATTCATAGTATGAAGCCTCTTTAATAATTGGCTGAAATTTTTAAAAAGTAGATATTTTTAATTTTCATGGTTTTAGCTAAAACAACTTATAATTATAAAACGGAGGGAGTATCATACTAAAACGTACTATTTATATATTTGCATCTCATTGGATCTTTGTATTCAACATGTAACCAACTCAACAACTTATTTACTAATAAATGATTTTTGAGTTAGGGTTTTGTGTCATCATAACTAGCTAAGACCGTCGACCATGTTAAATTTGTGCATCTCATTGGATCTTTTTATTTTGTTTTGATATCTTATGTTAATTTATTCCTAAATTAGATTTTGTTTTTATGTTAAATTTGTTCTGATGACTCTGATTGGACCAACATCACAATCATAGACCCTAATTTATTTTCTTCACATGTCATGTTATCCAAAAAAGACCATATGTTCTTCTTGCTCGCTTATGAAGGTCATCAATAACAATCTCAAGTTGCAGATGTTATATTTTCAAAACCTTCCCATATTCACAAAGACGATAGCAAAGGTTATTGGTTTACCTTACATGACTGAACACTTTACTAGTTAAGTGGTACAACATAATCAGAGATATAACAGATATGCAAACGAAAAGTTTGATGGTGTTCAAACTAAACGATGAAGGAAATACTGTTTTCACCAATGATTTTTTTTTGTTAATCATTCAATTTAGAAAACAAACAACAAAGGCAAAATTCATCTTCTACTATGTAAGTCCAATTTATGAACATATTTTGCATTTCTTCACAAAACACAAGCTCATGTCTTCACAGACCAGATCATAGAATTATAAAGTCTTAAACTATCATAGAGAGTCTTAAACCATACATAATAAAGTACAAAGATATGTAGTTAGAAAAAAAAAAATTATTAAAAATTTCACAGCTTCTGCGTCCTTTAGATATAATCTTTCTACTTCTTTTTCTTTTTCTTCAATTGTTGGGGTTGTGTTCTCCCAATCATGAACATTCTGGTGGACGTAACATAAAAATCCATTGATGTTAAGTTACAAAAAAATTAAAGAGCAAATGAGTTTAACTCTTGTATAGAAAACTAGGAGTCTTGAATGCTTTGGAGAAACCACTTTGCATTGGATATGCTAACTAATTTGCATAGTTTCAAGAATTATAATTGTGGAATTCCACTCTTACAATTAAAAATTATCTACATTTATTATATCATACTAAAACGTACTATTTGTATTCACTCATTGGATCTGCCTATTCAACATGTAACCAACTCAACAATTTTATTTATTGACAAAGAAACAAATTCCTACTCAAATAACTACTTATTTTTTCCGAAAACACTTTATTTTTTAATTACAAAATCGAATATTTTATTCTGTAATCAGAGTTAGAATTTAACGTTCATTTAAGACCATCCTCAATGCAACAACTTTTACACTGATCTTGGATATAAAAAAATAGAAAAAATTCAAATAGTAGAGGAACATGGGGAGAAACGGTCTTGAACAAGATCTGGTCTTGAGCATTGATCTTGACTTATATATATATTTTTCTCTCTTTCTCTCTCTTATCTCATTATAATATTATTACTTCATTTGTTTATTATTATAATTACTTTAAGATCAGTTGTGCGATTGATGATGCCGCAATCCATGTTTGGCAAATCGTGCGAACCAATAACGTAATTGCAATCCTTTTTTTTGTCAAAATCCCATCACGTAATAACACACAAACTACAAGGGTAATTTGGTCAATCTACTCTTCTGTAAACCCCACTGTTTTATGAAACGGCAAGGAATGGCTTGAGATATTGGCAATGTCAATGTCTCTCTCTCTCACAGTCTCTTTCTCTCTGCCCTCCAAAATTTCCCTCTCTGTTTTGAGCAGTTAAGCTGCCTTATCAATCTCACTCACCAGAAACCCATAAACAATCATTAACCTTTCTCTTGTTTTCATCAAAACCCATTTCTCAATTTCTTCAAAAACCCCTTTTGATTCTTTCTCCAAATCCTTTTTCAAGCTCTGTTAATGCTTTAGACACAACAGTTTTTTCCTCAATGTGTGACGGCTTTGTACTTTGATTTATAGAGAAAAAAAATGCCACGGAATGTATTTGGTGTGAACCAAACGGAGGTTTATAGAAATGTCGATCGTGAAGACCCCAAAGCAATTCTCAATGGTGTTGCAGTTACTGGACTTGTTGGGATCTTGCGTCAGCTTGGTGATCTCGCTGAGTATGTATTGAATTCGAGCTTTCAATCTCTGTTTTTTTTTTCTTGAAAAAAAGTTGTGTTTTCTTTTGGGTGTTACTGTTGAATGATTCTTTGAGCTAATGGTGAAGTTAAAGATGAAAAATCATTACTTTACATGAAAGTAA